TTTTTTTTTTTTTTTTTTTGGCATTGTTATATATATATATGTTAATTGGTCATTTACCAATTCAAGCAAACGTGATTATCTAATGTCCTAAGACGTATTTAATTGCCCGGAATACATTAACATGCGAATTTGTGTGTTCTGTTTTGTTGTTTGTACATGTATATTGGCATATTTTATCACGTTATGCCTCACAGACCAACAGTTGAACTTCGTCCAGAAATAAATTGCGGTCATCTGTGGCCGTCATGAGTATCTTTGAAAAACCTTAAAATTATTAATTTTTTGTTTGTATGTTTATTTTATTTACACCATGTGTTATATGAGAATACAATTTTGAACCAGTATATCCATTTAGTACGTTATTCAAAAAGTATACATAGCTCAGGTTAACTGAAGTCTATCTCTGTGTGATATCTCAGCATCAAGGCAGTATTATCTTATCTTTATTCGAGTTTTTACATATAACTTCCGCCAATAATGTTATTATTATTATTATTATTATTATTATTATTATTATTATTATTATTATTATTTTGCTTCTGTAAGTTTGTTGTATAACCGGTTTCTTAATACCAATGTCACAGATTGATTTTTCACTAGATATTCACAAATATGTCTCTGGATAATTCCCGACCCGATTCTCATCGCGCTATAGAAAACTGCACATAATTAATCTGCGGCCCTGGTAGAGGGTATTAACTCAAAACGTTTTTGTATAGGTCAGACCAGCTTACAATCAATAAGAATCTTGTAATGATCAATAACATTATCTAATTAATAAATATAATTAAGCTGTCTTGGCGGAGGTCTTCGCTTCCTGAAAGGTGTTCAAGTTTCTGTTGAAACATTATGTTGTTTTAGCTGGAAGAGCAACGTGCCAACTCACCGACAGCACAAGTTTTTATTCCCTCGAGTAAAATAATCCCTTTAAGTTGTATTTTACCAGTGTTCATCTTAGGCCATACAGGGATATATCGAGCCACGGCAGGGGGGGGGGGAGGTGAGGGGGGTTACTTTCCCCTTTTTACAGCACCCAAAGTACCAATAAAATTTTATAAAAATAAAATTAAAAAAATAAAAATAAAAATAAAAAAACGTGTCCGACGCCAGGCTTCTGTTTATGTGTCTCTCTTACGTAAGAGCTAGGTTATTAAGAAGCCAATGGCTCAAAGAATACCTCTCCACGTGAAAAGGATCCTACAAGTATATACATAAATATGCATTATTTTATGCTGTTCAGCGTAATGTAAAAGACATGATTCAGTCAATGCATAATCAATTGCATTACGAATTCACAATGTGCGTAATCAAAGTATTATTTGAGCACCATTCCATTTACATAAATATACGCGAAGTTACTCGTATTACACAATTTGTTTTCCATTTCATTAGCAAAAGAGAATCTCAGAGCGAGTGGAAATTGACGTGATTACCATCGACTTTCGCTTCTACTCTTTCAGCTTATTGTATTTGAATGCATTACGGCGTTAAATTTCCTGTTGATTTAGTTTACGTAATGCATGTGATGTATCTGGGAGCTGACTACAATGAGCATTGATTCGATGATTCCTTAATCTATGTCTGGTCGCGTTACTATCTTTTAACTTCATTAACAAAGGATTTGCTGACCTTGATGAAGATTTTGTAAGCACGGCTGTACCAGAGACATTGGTAAACCGTAGTTCTACAGCTTAAGCTAGAAGGCTGGGTTCAGAATTTTATATAATTAAATCAAAACGATGTTAACCGGCTGATTTTTTACTTTTGATTTACTTATTGATTATTTCCCTGCCACTAAATATAAATCCTCGAAGAAAGAAAAATAAAATAAATGAAAGAAATTAGACCATTTGCACATGTTGCACATGGTGCACTTCCATTAAGATTAAATTTGTGTTTTCGCAGTATAGAGGCTGTATCTTCCTCCGGATCTGCCTTTAAAGCACCATACCGCCTCATTGTCCATGTTACATTATCCATTATCCGTTATCCGTTTCAGATAGCCAGCATGATCCTCCTACATCTCTGTGTTCATATAGCCGGTGTCTCCACTAACTTCCTAACTGACCGTGCCCAGAGAAAGGCGTTCCTAGAGATCAGGAAGTGTGTAGAGTGCAGGTACCGCCTGGAAAAAGAAAATGAAAATCAGGTAAAAGTGTTCCTTTTCAGGTCTCAAAATGCCTTTTATTCAGAAATGAATTATTTTTAGATGCTAACTTGTCTTCTTCTTCTTCTTTAGTCGCCATTTGTCGCCCTGGTCGTCAGTGGTGACCATTTTTTGTGGTTGACCCCCCCAAACAAACACACAAACACACACACACACACACACACACATACACACGCACACTTCAGCACACCCAGTGTCATCTTCACTCATACATTTTAATTCATACCTTAATCCATTGACGTCTTTATACCAATATAACGTACACGTAATACAATATGTCTAACGCTCAGAGCTTGGATATCCATAGTATTTCTCAATGGGAATCAATTGGAAAAAAATTAACCCTAACTTTTGGCACCGCTTGACGTCCCGCTTGAGGTGGGCTTAACTTGTCAATTTTTGTTCTTTTTGCCTTAACTTCTGACTCTGCTCTCCCAACAATCCTACAAAATATCGTTTGAACTTACGAGAATTTGTGCCAGGCCCGTAGCCAGCAATTTTAAAAGTGGGGTTCTTTTTCTGAAAAATTGGACCTTTTTCCATAAAAACTTCGTGAACTTAGATCAAATGTTACCCAGAGTGGACCTCATCCCAGAAAAAGGGGCGGTTCTTTCGAACCCCCCGAACCCCCCCCCCCCCCCCAGGCTACGGGCCTGTGTACCAACTTGAATGATTCCCGATGTCCGCCAAAGAAGTCAAGGTTATCAATGGATGCAAGCCCACCGCCTTTCCGCAGATAGTCGTAGACATGTATTGTTAAACGAAACTGAATGCCCCCACCCAGCCTTGTGTACCAGTAAAACACATAAAAAACAGACTGACCAGTTCTTGCGAAAAAGATTTACCATAATTTGGAGTTCCTAAAAAAATGAGTGATTTCACATTTCAGTTGTATAATTGGCTTTATAAGAGATACATTGCCGCATGGTCAGATGACGGTCAAGATTAGACATTACCAATTGTATTTCTGTTTCAAAGGTACATGAACCAATTTGAGGAGAAAGGAAATTGCTTCCTTGTGTTTCGCTCCTAATCAAGATCGATGTCATAAGAACCTCTGGAAATATTTGACTTATCGAAAACAGCTTCTGCGTTAAGTGCCAAGTGCAATTTGAAGATACTCGTCTTGTCATGTCGAATTGTCAAAACAAAGTCCAATTTATCGACCTTTCATCTAGCGTTGTTGAAGAAGAAATATTAAAACTGCACGTTAGACATGCCTCCAATTAAATGTTCGACAAAATTTACCAAAAGGTTTCTGCAATGTTATTAGGTCTACTGTATTAACTCAACATGGGATTTATTACTGTGACATTGGACCCCGCATGTCTTGGAGAATTCTAGAGCGACAAATTAGTTTCAGTAACGCGACGCTTTTATCAATTCCAACTTATTGCAATGACAAAAAAGATCTGTCAGATAAGATTTGGTTTAGATAAATGAGACCTGAAGTTAAAGCGTTACAAATTGTGCGGAGTGTAAGTTTGGCATCCTTTTAATCTTAAAAAACCTCATACATGTAACTGAACAAATTAATCTGTTCTCTTTCAAACTATTTGTATATACGGAATAAAATAAGGTAATAGTAAATGACATAGAAAGATATCAATTTTAAATTATATAATTGAAAGTGTTAATATAATGTAAATATAAGAAGACAGACGTATCATTGCTGATAGCATGTTATAGCATAAACAGATATCAACAGGTTTAGAGTATCAAAAATGCACAATATCGACTCTCAAAATGTTGTTTTCTTTCGTTACGACCTTCGTTCCTTTCTGCATGTCTTTCTTTCTTTCTTTCATTTTGTTCGGATATGATTATGTTCCCTTTAATAATATGACACGTGCCACGTAAAACAGCAAAAACGTCAGTGCGCATGGAGGCGCAACTTTATATTTCTCTTTTAAAAACGAGGACTCTCAATTTAGAACACTGTACGCAGCGGAACAGAAGGAACAGAACATTCATTAATCACTCTCAGCTCCTTTGTTTAGCTCATCTATCATAGTTACCTCAGTGAACAGCGTATTGCGAAGGGAACACGCCGGAAGAAGATATCATTTTCAATGTTTGATCGTGAAAATCTACCTGTTACTTTCTGATATATTACCACCAATGTTGAAATGTGCATCAACGAAACTTCTCTTCTGCTGCTTAACCAGACGTAGAACGTTAATGACTTAAAACAATTTATAATATGCTTTAGCTGTGTCCCAAGATGTGAATAAAATATAACAAATCGCGTGGGATGATTTTAAGTGTTAATACAAAACCAAGTATTGTGATTGGTAGCCATTATAGTAAAGACTTTGCTCAGTCATATTTAAGACTTCTCAGAGTCACTATAGTTGTGAAATCCATAGCAACTGTAGATAAAGCGTGTATGCTTAAAATGACAGTATGACAGGTGACAGTGACTGTGACAGCGACAGAAATGAACAAAAACAGTCGTCACTGTGTTAATAGACTTTGCTGTAGGACTAAAATAAATTTTGACATTTGGCATTTACTATAATGTATATTTATGGGAATCGAGACCAAAATCTCTTCCAATGAATATTTTGTATGATTAATAACATGTACCCCTCTTTGCATTTTAATACTATTAAAATAAGTGAAAGACTTTACTCGAGAATTTAAATGGATTCCTTTAATTCTCTCGCAGGAACGCCTCCTACTGTCAGTTCTCCCGCGCTTCGTGGCCTTGGAGATGATCACAGACTTGGCGAAGGAAGAAGAAAATGGCGAACGTCGTCTGCCGTCTCAGTTTCACAAGATCTACATTCATCGATATCAGGACGTCAGGTAAAACGGGGGTAATAAATATAATTATAGAACGATTGGTAGAAAATATCTAAAATAATTAAATAATTACTTTGCATTTGATAACGTTCATGCTATCTTCTGTAGAAATGACCTTTTTGGTACCCACCTTGTACCGGTATATAATGCCATCATCGTGACGTCATAAATAAACAGACGTCATTGATTTGAACTGACGTCATCTCAGTTTTGATGCTGAAACATGTATTGATGACAGGGTATGTTTTAAAGCTATTCTTTAATGAGTTGATATACTAAAATGCTTCTCTTTCGAAAGCCCAGATCACGTCACATGCCGCACGGCTCATAATTTAAGAGGATGCATTTATTTATTTTTTTCTTTTTTTACGTCCAAATCCCGATGTTTGTCTAGATCCTTTGCAACTCCATCATGGAATAGAGCTATTCAGGTTGTTATTTAGGCAGGGGGGTCATACCGTGCATGTACAGGCCATTCACCTTAACAAATTGACAAGGGGAATACACAACCCCAAATGAACTAAACATTTGGACACTTAATTTATTATCTTCTTCCGCCGATATGCGAAATGGAGATCATTTCCGCAGCGGAAGCCAATCAATTGTATTAAGCGCGTGGTGCACAGGGTGAAGAGACACGTGAATCTCTAATACCGCGACTGGAGCTTCAAACAATAGGAAAATTGTACTTGTATTTCGCATACAGGCTTCCCTGTATTTTTGTACGCTTCGGTNTCACGGCTCATAATTTAAGAGGATGCATTTAATTTTTTTTTCTTTTTTTACGTCCAAATGCCGATGTTTGTCTAGATCCTTTGCAACTCCATCATGGAATAGAGCTATTCAGGTTGTTATTGAGGCAGGGGGGTCATACCGTGCATGTACAGGCCATTCACCTTAACAAATTGACAAGGGGAATACACAACCTCACATGAACTAAACGTTTGGACACTTAATTTATTATCTTCTTCCGCCGATATGTGAAATGGAGATCATTTCCGCAGCGGAAGCCAATCAGTTGTATTAAGCGCGTGGTGCACAGGGTGAAGAGACACGTGAATCTCTAATACCGCGACTGGAGCTTCAAACAATAGGAAAATTGTACTTGTATTTCGCATACAGGCTTCCCTGTATTTTTGTACGATTCGGTACTTTCATCCTACAATCCTGTTGGAAGCGCAAGCCGTGTTTTAAGTCAATTACAACTAGTCGTTTACAAGTACTCGTCGTCCATTGTATACAGTGGACGACTCGTGTTGGAACTTTCATATGGGGGCCTTGAGGTGATACAGTGTATGTCCCAAATGGAAAAGAAAATCTCGGAAAACATTATCACCTCTTGGAAGAACACGGTGCTCAAGTGGATGGTTATTTTTCGTAATTTATGCTAAAATATATATATATTTATTTATGTGATTTTAGTGTTATTAATTTATTTATTTTTGACTTGATGTCGGTTGACCCATTAGCCTGCTGTTAAGGTGAACGGTACCAAACGTGAAAGAGCCGTCTACACCGCTGAAAGTTGACTTTAAGTAGCAAGCTAGTTGATCTAAACAAAATACCTCTCGACCAAGGCGGTTAATTGTCTTTGGCGGACATTGCACTAACGGGCTCATCAACTTAATACGCAGTAACACATATGGCATAAGGTCAAAGAGATATATTAAATGGGTTGCCTTTAAATGTAGATTCTCTGTGATGCATTGACTTGAAAGTGGCTTGAAAGTAAAACCCAGTGTTTCTGAATCTTATACTGGTAGATAGCTATATAGCGTTATGCTAGTGGTATATTCCTGTGTAATTCATTGCCAATTACGATTCCGAAAGATTAACATGGGCAGTTTGTAAATGTCAATAAGTACATTTTTGTCTTTTTTTCTTTTTGGACATGTCATCAGGTTTCCAAATATCCCTTCATGATGGAATATGAGAACGTACAGTTTAAGTGAATTTGGGTTACAGAAATTATAGCGGGAAAATAAACACCGCTATGTCAACTTTGATCACATGATTTCCCTACTGACAAGTAACTGAGACATGCAGGATTTTTATATTCTAATATTTTGGTTTATCCTGTTAAAACATGTTAATGTCAAATGGTGACTCGACGGGATTGATTTGTATGGGTTTCAACCCATCAATAAAGGCCAGAGTGAGTTTTTCAACTTGTTTATTTCCCATTTGACTTAACCTTGTCGTGTTTGGCTGGCAAACGTTCGATTATCTTAATGAACACGATTTGCAACGGGAAGAATTATAATCCAAGAAGAAGGTATTGGAAAGAAAAAAACACTATTAAAGGCTTTAAGGAGTTTAAAACTTGGGGGTCCTTTGCCTTTCCTCTCATTCTGCATACACTTTGTGTCAAACACACACAAACACTTTGTGAAATCCTGTGTTATATGAACGTCATTTTGAATATTGTCTGTCTCATACAGCTTCAATAGATAGTCTCGCTGCCATAATGGGGGTATACAGCTATATTAACAAACTGGGGCTTATTGGCACACATATAGGTCAACTAATGAGAAAAAATATAAAAAACGCTCATGATTTGTCAAGTGTCGTGCATGTTGCCTTTGAGAAAAGTGTCGCTTAAGTCATGACAGTGTTGTCCATGTGGTATAAATGCATTGTTGTTCTTTATAACGTTAATAAATGATTTTTTTCAATGACTTGTTCTTTGTGACGTACGTGTTCGTGCTGACAGTCTGGGAGCGTGTTATAGATTGATGGGACTCCAGTTTCATTTTTTTCTCCTCAACTTTTACCGCACTGGTACGAACAAATCGTTGCACTGACCCCAACTGAGCATTAATCACTCAGACAGTGGTAAGTTGTGAAATGACACAATCGATAGCATTTTGTCGACTTCGAAGTTTATTCGCAGATGAATTATTTACCATGATTTATATTTGAGTATCGAGCAAGCTCAAAATGAATGATCTACCATATGTTTTGACAACTTATTTCCCATGCGTTCAGCAGGACCCCAACACATTAAAAACGTGGATCGGATGATGTATCGCTGCTTAATTGATCTTTTAATCTGCAGTGTATTTGATCTATCTCATTAACCAAGCAAGAGCTGAAAACAAAGTGCCGAATGCAATGATTTTTTTATACGATAACTTAGCAACAGTAATATAACCACGAAGTTAGATGCGCCTGTATTAAATACTGGTAAAACCACATGCTACATATTTTATTGCACGTACCCTGTAGGATAATATTTAGTATGAGTAGTGTACGCAAAGATAAGGGTACTCTCTGACCACAGGGCGCGCTAGTAGTCTGATTCAAAATAATTGTAAGGCACATACATATACGTGTACTTCAATTTTGTATACTATACTAGAAGCTCCTGATATCTAATATAACGTCGTCATCTTTCTCACAATCAGTTTTGCTAAAGTTCGAGACTCGCCTTCTGTTATATGCATAAGTGTCTAATGAAACACTGAGCCATGGTAGCATAACTTCATGACTAACTAGAAAAGCACTCCGAGAGCGCAGACCTCCGCCACGGCAGCAATTTTTGATTATTATCGATTATTGATTGATAATTGATCCGGATTACCACCAAAAACTAATCATCTCTTCCTTGGCCCACTTTTGACAGTTCCTGAAAGTTTAATCAAAATCGGTCCATAACTTTTTGAGTTATGTTGATGACAGACAAACAAACAAACAGACAAACAGGGGTGAAAACATAACCTCCTTGGCGGACGTAATCAACGGCGACTCTCTCATTAAAGAAGTCACTTGATTACAAAGGTGGGCATTTATCTGTTTGTATTTACTTTCAGTATCTTGTTCGCTGACATCAAGGGTTTCACCCAGTTCTCCTCTACGGTATCTGCTCAAGAGTTAGTCAAGACCCTCAACGAGATGTTCGCCCGCTTCGATAAATTGGCCAAGGTATTCAGCTAAATCACGCAATGTCATGTTTTTATTTGATTGCTCATTCGTCTTGTGATATAATTTTCGAAGACTGCATGTTGTTCAACTGGCACAGGTACGCGTCTCTGTTTTTACCTTTTGTTCTTCAATGTTATTTTCCTTTTGATTATTCATTTATCTTTTAATTAATTCTGAAACCTGAAGTTCCTAAAAATAAAATAACAAACAGTGGCCCACTAGTGCCTGAAATTTTGAAGACATTTTTTGGTGATTTTTAATAATTTGGGAGCCAAGCACTATGGAGCGTATCTGTACTTTAAAAATGGTTGATGAGGTAAAAAAGCAGATTAGCCAGTAAATCAACCAGAATGTGCCAGAACAGCTCTCTGTTTGCAGTGCTTTCCACTCGTAATTATAGACCCCATAAAGTAATGTGGCTCTCAATTACAGCAAATGGAAACATCTGTCGGCTCATTACAAGAGTTGCTTACAGAGATTATCAGAAAGTACTGAGATTACCTCACGCCAAAGAACAGTTCAATGCACAGTATATCTCTGTGCTGGTGTCATAATTATTTTCTCATCTTGGCAACATTTAACGTTCGTTTAAATGAATACGCAATGGTTAAAACGCTGCGTTCTCTGTATGTTGACAAAACAATCATTTTCTCGCCATGAAATCAGGTTTAAGCAAATACGCAACTGCAATTTTCATTATATTCTCCACATGTTCAGTGGCATCAACATTTTCACACGGCATCATACAGAGTGCAGGCATGTATAGACGAGGACACTACTGTATAAGTACCTGTAGATCTAGCCGTTCTCCTTTCAAAATGTCAAGGTCATCCATTTAATCATCATTTTCACAAGTCTGCAAACTGTAAGCTAGAGGGTAATGCCCTTTGTATGGTATTGGAAAAATAATAAAACTGATGATCCAAATTGCTAGCAAAGACGACCATTTTAGCCCTTCACCTTGCACGCTCTGCGGGAAGGGGGGGGGGAGAGGCAGAGAGTCTGGAAAAACGTTTTTGCTTTGAAGTTTTGTGAAATTGCTGATGAAAATGGATGAACCCTTAACATTCAAGCTGAAACACGACCACATTATTTTTTCAGGAAAATGGCTGCCTGCGTATTAAGATTCTCGGGGACTGTTATCTGTGTGTTAGTGGACTGCCGGAAGCTCGACCTGATCATGCCCACTGCTGCGTTGAGATGGGCCTCGCTATGATCAGAACTATCAAGTAGGTTCTGATAGCATTTACTAGTTGGTACAAAGGGCTTAAAACCAAGGAAAATATATGTAGGCAGCAGTTGAAGTTGAAGCCTACGGTGAATAATACTTAACCCCCCCCCCCACAAAATAAATAAATATATATATATATATATATATATATATATATATATATATATATATATATATATATATATATATATATATAATTAACAATTGACTGAAAAATTGCAAAGGTGTGTATATGGTTGACAAGTAGAGCACTACGTTGACGTCCTCAAAACAGATGTTTTCACTTCTTCATAACGTATGTATTTCAGAACGGTCCGCGAGGCATATAAAGTTGACCTAGATATGCGGATAGGTATCCACACTGGCGCCGTGTTGTGCGGAGTTCTGGGACTCCGGAAGTGGCAGTTTGACGTGTACTCCAATGACGTCACAATGGCCAATATGATGGAAGCTGGGGGGATACCGGGGTATGTATGGCTGTGCACGTTAGAAATGAAATTATGATATTTCCAATGTGCACTTGGAATCAACTCGAAAGCAGGTTTTGTAACTGGTATATATAATGTATTGTAATGCACATACAATACGCCAACATTACTAAAACAGACATACATGTTCACCTCTAACATTAGTGGTAATTGCAAATTATGAATAATGTTAATTTATCAAGAATTGTACTTTAATTAACATAAATTAAGCTTTTACATATATTTATTTTATTTCATTTCATTTTTATTTATCTATTTATTTGTTTGTTTGTTTGTTTGTTTGTTTGTTTGTTTGTTTGTTTACTTATTCATTTTTTTGCTTTTCCATTTTAATTTTTGTCATCTTATGAAGAAATAAAGGAAAACAAAATCAGACAAGCTAGCGTAAGGATAATTTCGGTTTTCCTTTCCCAGACGTGTTCATGTGTCCGCCGCGACATTAAAGTTCCTGGGTGACGATTACAAAGTAGAGCCGGGAGAGGGAGCACACAGGAGTGACTACCTGAGGGATCATAATGTAGAAACCTTCTTAATCAGTAACGAGTACCTGGAACAACAGGTGGGTAGACGCTGAGATCGCGTGTGTATTCTACGTATATACTCTGCCTGCTCCTCATCGGCTAAACCAACTACAATGGTATAGTCATAAGGGAACCTTAAGTTTTATTTATGCAATAAAAGATACATGAGTGTGAACGCGTGCTGTCGTGTGTGTGTGTGTGTGTGCGCGCCTCATATGTCACTGTAACCATTAAGCAATATTATATAAAAATACATAAATAAGTTTTGTCATAATGTTATTTATGTCATTTCATTTCCAGCATGACGTCAACAGAAATGGTTTCTTACCGTCCCATCGCGCCTCGTGCCGTATAGACGCCAACGGCCATCTCCGGTACTCCTCGGAGGACTCCGTATGGGCCAGTGACGTCACAGCTGTTGCGGGACAGGTAGGCGCGTCTTACTCAAAATAGAATAAGACTTGCTGCAGGTATGACACCTCTGGCGTATGTGATCTCATTGTCGTTAAGGCATCAAATTGATTAAGTGACGTCATAGTGACGTGAGCATGACGTTGAAATAAATCAGGTGCTTTCTGGAATTTGGTGATACATGGGTATGAGTATATTATCATTAAAAAAACAGAAATAATAATAAATTATACTGATTTAACCAACGAATTATTGATTTTATTGTTATTTGACGGATATTTCAGAACTACACGGTTGCAGGTGCCCTCCAAAGTCTCTTGCCGCAAGGTATTTCTAAAGTAGTACGTCGTCGGTCCACAGGTGCAGAAGTCAATCTTCACATCATAAGAGCGATAGAGGCCAAGACGGACCACACGTTACGGAAAACGCACATGAAAGCTTTTACGTTAAAGTTCAGGGATTCGGTCGCAGAAAATCAGGTGAAAAACATTAGAATTGTTCAATTCACGCGTGATACATAATATTATGTGAAAGATGCCGTTTTCATACATCCTGAGATACTTTTACCGATTTTAAAATCTGCAACCTTTTTCTGTATAACCTGTATCGCAATATTTAGTTTAAAGTCATGGTCTGTTTCTATCTTTTTTATGCTTCCAGTACCACGGATTGAAGGACGACACATTCAAGACCAACACCGTTGTCTGCAGCGCCATCTTTGTTTTGCTTATAATTTACCATATAGCCTTGTTTTTTGGAGAAAAGTACGTGTTTAATTATTGGTGATTGACTTCTAGAATATCTATCTATAAAGCGAAGAAAAATGTTATGTCGAAAAACTATGCAAAGTGAACATTATGAACTGGAACGCTTCTACAAGTCCATAACAAACTTGATATTTTATTCAAGTACGAAAACATTCACCCAGATGCATTGTGTATAAGCTTGACAAATATGCCAGTAGTTATGCTAGATAAGCAAGCGTATTTATTTATTTTTTTTTAATTAAAAAAACATTATCTGACTAATATTTTTTTAGAAAAATTATTTTAATATTTGATGATATTTTAATAGCCATTTAACTTATTATCATGACTGCCATGACGTAATGCTTTTGAACTTTGACCTTTCAGTCCATACCCCATTATCCTGGCATTTTCACTCGGAATAGTGATGTATGTAGTCATTTTCGTCATACTGTTTGCGGAAGAATACATGTGTTGCCAAGCGACGGTTGCCAAGGTTTCAAAATGGGCGACAAACAACCGCCACTGTAGATCCGCCATGGTGCTATTTCTTGTACTCCTCAACTTTCTGGTTTCTCTCATGTGTTTTGTAAGTATGACAATATCTTAGGGTACCAAACAGAAGAATGAAAATATTAATATTTACACCGGTACAATCATGAGTACAAACGCCCATGTCAGTTAGCCAACAAAATGGAGATACTCAGAATATTGACATTTTTAGTTAAAAGCAGCCCCTCCACCGTAATGAAGACATACAGTGTAAAATGAGATGATTTATAATTTATTATGTTGCTGAGCAACGTGTTTGATTTTATCGAAGAATATTACCAAAAGTGAGCACCAGCATAAATCTTTGATATTTAAGTTGTTATAATCTGGTTTGCTTTTAGTATTCCGAGTGCCAAATGCTAAGGGGAAGCAAATGTATTCTGCCCGAGGTAAGTAATAATTTACATTTCTTCTAATTTCTATACCACACAGTTCATTTATAAAACCATAATCGCGTAATTTCTAGAGTCCAGAGCATGTCATTTCGGAGTTAAGGCCTACCGTATTATAAAAGAGCCGTTTTAGGCAGATTTTCAAAGGCAGTAACACTGCACCGTTCCTGTTAAGGTCATTCATTTTGACATGATATTTCTATATACCTCTTCTATTGTTTTCAGACATTTCCGCTTCTTTTATTTAAATATTTAAAATTTTTCAAAAATCTTTCAGACGTGTTTCTACTCATGGATGCCCGTTTTAGTATCTTGTGCCATTTTTTTACGATTCCGCAACCTTTACAAAGTTCTCCTTCTCACGGCAATGACGACTGTCTACGTCATCATACTGGTCGTGTATGAACGTCATCTGACGTCACAGTAAGTAGTTCTATTGCTCACTTTCTATGGAAAAGATCATTACGCGACATTACATGACATTTACTTATTAAAGAGGCATTGATGCATAAAGCGAATGCCCTTTTTATAGTTTGGTATATGATGTAATATTTGAAAAGGCGGAACTAACAGTGATGGTTTATTATTATTATTATTATTATTATTATTATTATTATTTTCTAGTTCAATATATGATGCCCTTGTGATACTATTGGCCTTTGCGTTGATTCTTCTACTCCACACCCGGCAGGTAAAGTAACCCAACTTAGAACACATGACTTTAAATTATACATGTATATTGTCATCTTATTGGAATGATTACACGTTGCTTTGCAAGATCATTCAATTCAGATACACAATACTAGTTATTTGCAAAAAATAATAATAAAAATAAATAAATAAATACAAATATAAAAAAGAGCTGTTTAGTTTTGAGATAAAGATGATCCAATACAATTTGCCTTAATATTTGACAAGACAGCATTCCAGTACTTGGTCAAGCCATGTTATTTTGTGTGCAATTTCTAGCTTGAATGGAACACACGGCTTCACTTTCTGTGGAAACTACAGGCTAAAGAAGAGATTTGTGATATGGAAGAATTGCAGGAACATAACAGACATTTGCTACGGAATATACTTCCGGATCACGTGGCTTTTTACTTCCTGGCCAGCGACAGGAAGGATGAGGTATGGGAATTTGATGAAGAAGACATGGACCATGTGCTAAAAAAATACTGGAAACAATTTGTTCATTTAAAGCACCTACTTCTTTACTTAAAGAAAGTCCCATTTAAAAAATTAAAATCAAGTCGCCAAAGAAGACTTCTAATATAAAAATATGGAATATTTTTCTACAAAGACACAACACGACTTGTCTCTCTCTATATAAATCTAAGGTATTGGCGTTTACTGTTAGTTTCAGTACTATTAAGATAACAGACAGACGTAATGGCAGGCCAGCATCAGTAGTGGTCCTGCTACCCCCCCCCCCCCCTCCCCTTCGGTTTCTAAAAAATATAAAAAAGTCTAGCTGAATCGTAGTTCTAAACTGCACCAAATGGCACCGTTTGCCCTCCAAACCCTCCAACATTTTTCGCAGCCCTTAAGCAAGCGCCGAACACCACGCCAAGGGGGCAAGGGTCAGCTTCGCACCCAAGGCCTAGTTGTCATCCCTAAAAAAACGGACCCCTTGTCAAATAATCCTGGATCCCTAGACCCCTGAGCATCGTCTTTCTGTTTATTCCAGGACCTCTATGCACAATCGTATGACAAAGTGGGGGTGATGTTCGCCTCCATTCCTAACTTCTCTGAGTTCTACAATGAGGTGTCTTCCAATAATGAGGGTATAGAGTGCCTTCGACTTCTCAACGAAATCATAGCAGACTTTGACGAGGTGAGCAAAATGGGTAATTCTGCATCTTTGTGTTTCGTTCTGGTTAAATCTCGTTTATTGCATGTACGTATACATCTGTTCATTGTCCCATGCTTCTCAACGAAACCATTGCAGACTTTGACGAGGTGAGAAGACTGTCCAGATCTTTTCTTTTTGTTACGGTCCGGTCAAAACTATTTTATACGTGTACACTGTATGTAATGCATTCATAGCAGTCCTTGGCGTTGTGAGGGGAATTTGCAGTACTGCATCTATCTATGTTTTACGTTCTGGCATAAGTTTGTCGAAAACTTGGTATGTTTTTCGTCAATTTGTTATCAAAATCATCTTAGATTTTAACTCAATTAGGGTAATTAAACACATTTATATGTCATTTATGGTGGTGTTAAGACTCTTAAATGTGTGGTAAATTAGATTGTAAAATATAATTGCATTGTGTTGTCCAAATGTGATGTAAATTTGAGAGTTTTAGCTTTTAAGATAATGAAGTTTCGTGTAAATAATGATATCTTGTTCTGTCTCGACAGTTGTTAAATGAAGAGCGTTTCCAGTGCATAGAGAAGATTAAAACAGTTGGCAGTACCTATATGGCTGCGTCCGGGCTGGCCCCGGATTACAAGGTAGATATCAAAACCGGAATTGTCACGTGACCTACAATAATCCGATTTCAATACCGGAATAGTCACATGGCCTTTCTAATTCGTTGCCTGTACTAATATTGTCTAGATCCTTTGACATGATTTGGTCGTGCTTGTTCACTGAAAGAAGAAAATTATTAGGTATATAAACAGCAATCTTACAAACATTACATTAACATGCAAATGCAGCTTTTAAAATTTCAGGGAGAGAAATAGGCAAATGATTGAGACATGGGGCTAACTTTTTTAATCTTTCTCTTTTTTCCTCTCTCCCAAGCCTATGCACGGGGACGTGTGGGAACATTTATGTGCCTTAGCAGACATGGCGATTACTATGAAAGAGGTCCTCACAGAAATCAACATCCATTCCTTCAATGCATTTCATTTAAGAATAGGTGAGTTCTTGTCTGGTTTTGAGCACATTGAATCTATCGACATCAAGAAGACAAGATGGAACAGTGTCGTTTTAAAAGGGTTATGTGGCGTCAAAATATATCGTTTTTACCCTTTGGTGTACCTTGAAAAAATTTACTTATATTTCTCAATTTTTTTTCTTCGCCTCGCACATACAGATATTGAAATATTCAAATGTTTCAAAGAACTTGTATATATTTTAAAGAAGTTTATAATTAAAGTTATTTTATGTATTAAACTATGTATGAAGCCATCATTTTAAATGTGCCCTTTAATGTAATGCCTTAACTACGTCTTAGACCCTATTCCCAGAGATTAGATCGATCCGACTAGATCGACCTAACTCCCTATGGATTCACGCTAAATAGCTGTCAGTCGAGCGGGCAAGTAAGTTTATTGTCTCCTTACAGCTTGTAGTAGGCGGGACGGACATTTAAGCCGGATTATCTGACAGTAATCTAGTGAGACTCCCCACGGCGATAGATCCATCTAAAATCTATGGGAATGCACCCTTAATGCTATATTGTGATAATGTTTTGACATAGTAACGGCTACTGAACCTTTAAGGTTTTTAGACCTTACATACATATTCAGGCACACACATACACGCTCACACCGAGTCCATATATAGCCATACATACATGTATATGTGTAATATCCCCTGCTCTCTCCCCAGGTATCAACCACGGCCCGGTGGTGGCTGGGGTGATTGGAGCCAAGAAACCGCAGTACGATATCTGGGGCAATACCGTCAACGTGGCCAGTAGGATGGACAGTACGGGAGAACTGGGCAGAATACAGGTACTGGTTTACACCCTTCTCTCTCTCTCTCTCTCTCTCTCTCTCTCTCTCCTTCCATCTCTTTCGCCTCATTTATTTCTCTCACTTTCTCTCTCTGTCGTCTCCTCTCTCTCTGCTCCCCTCTCCCTCTCTCCCCTCTCTGCCTCCTTGCTCTCTCTCTAATCTTCTAGCGCCTTCTTTCTATCATCCCTTCATTAGTTCTCCTTCAATTCGATCTTTCTGTCTGTCTCAGTCTGTGAGGCTTTTTGACAAGTGACAAATATAGTACAGAAGGTATATAAAAGTTACTGTAAAATATTCTTTGCTCAGCAGGCAAATGCGCCGTTGAATAATTGCCATGTTACTGTACGGGGAGTGCAATCTTCTAGTCAAGGCTGTTTACGGTTTTATTTTAGTACTAATTTGATGATAATTCGTTCGGATTTACATTTCTCGTATTCAATTTTCAATCTTCGAGTATGAAACATGCAGATGAAAAACAACGAAAGCTTTGCATTTATATAGTGTATAAAATTTAGTTAAAAAATCAGTGCATTATAAGCATTTTACTTTTTTTCCCTTTTTTATTAAGGTTACGGAAGAAACATACAAAATTTTGTGTCGTAGAGGATTTCAGTTTGAATTTCGGGGAACAGTTCCAGTAAAAGGAAAAGGTGATTTGCGGACTTATTACTTGATCGGAAGAGGCGGAAAAGTGAGGCGCGATCGCACACTGAGCATGCGCAGAATGAGTGGTCAGCACACGCTGGCGGCCCTGGTCTGCGGACTTGTCCAGGCAAGGCGGCGATCACAAAGACAGAGCAAGCGGTTAGGTGACCGCGTCTCCACGGCCAGCTTTCGTAGTGTACATAGTTTGGGAGAAGGCAAGAGTCAAAGTTTGTTGCCCTCCCCAACAGCGCCCATGCGCGCGAGGTCATATAATCTCCCGCCAATCAGCGCCGCAGACACACCCACTGAGGAGACATCTGAAGATATGGGAACGCCGGAAAAAAGCCACGTGTGAATATCTTCACCAATAGAGAAAGTGGAACTAGTCAACCAGATCTGATTGGCATATCGTAATGAATGATGATTAAAACACACGATAAAGTTGTTACAGAATGGTGCTCGGGCAGTCAATACAAAGGGCTCGGTGGCGTATAGTTTTCATTTATACTGATGGGTACACGTATTATTTAAAACAGATTTTTTCGAAAGAAAAAATATAATAAGCGCCTTTCGAAAATAACTCAGATATTTTGAACTTTTTCATACACGGAGGTCATGGTTGTGATACCGGGAATTTGTCACTTGATGTCTTAAAAACAACAGAACATACGTGTAAGTAAGGGACAATATAAGTATTTTTTTTTTTTTTGGGGGGGGGAGGGGTATAAAGACGATTCTTGGTATTTCTCTGTTGAGAATTTGGTGGAGATGTAGAGGGCATTTTGCCCTTTCAAAAGATGGTCAGAATATTAATTGTAAAAAAGACTATTCTGCACACTAATGAAAATTTAGAATCCAAAGTTCTAATCAATGGACCAACTACTGTCTCTTGTATATTTATATGGATTGAAAATTGAAATCCAACTACGACTAGTTTTAAACTGTAATTCTATCTAAGTTTAATGTATGTACTATAAAACTAATGTACAAAATCCTACACGTTGTACTGGACTTAAAATCTGAAAAATATTCATATTATCGGTCCATATATATATTTTGACGAATATTTAAGACTTCATTGAAATTCTACATATATATTCTTCGAAGCACAAAAATAAATGCAACAGTGCTTGATAAAAACAATACGATATTTGCCTTTCGAATTATATGTAGATCTAAAACATGTGGCAAATATGACAGCGTCATATACGTGTAGTTTCTTATCGCACAATGTATTACACAAATAATATTACTGCAGTACTACCCTTCATATGAAGCATTGTTTTCAGCGCTTCAGCTCACAGTTTCTGAAAGGACAAATAGCTATGTATGAAAATATACCGTAACTCTCTTAATTTAAGGAACAGACCAGAGATTATATCTGATAATTATTATGACACAAAATATTTGACTACGTTACTTCTTTTTAAGAATCTAAAAGAGTGTTAAATTATAATCACCAAGCTCAAGATTCTCGGTCGGTCATGGAGTCGCGTGCTTGCCACTCTTGATATAAGACGATTTAATCAAAATGTTTTTCATACGTCATCTCTCTTATGACACTTCAGCATTTTTGAGAACTTGCCACTTAACAGGGTCAATGTATCCATTACGTATGTGGACTGGTTGTTCGACACACCAGGTGCGAAAATATACCAACTTTGTGTCTGACACATCCATTTCAGCCCGATCTTGATTAGTCAAAGAGTGCATTCAAAATCACCCTTTGTATCAGCTGGATCATTCCAAGTCTGCGGGGGATTCCGGCAAAAGTTCAATCAGTGGAATCATCTCAATCAGCACACGATGGTTAATTGCCTCTAGATGCGCAAGGAAGCATGTCAGACAATTAAATTGATTGCACAGATTGCACTTCGCAAAAATCGACCACAAAGTTAGACCGACCAGGCTAGTATCATGGGTGAATATGAATGCGGTCATAGACATCCAACCCTGACGAGCGAATTCAGTCTGACGTTGCTCAGTCTAGTCGTCATCCTTTTTCCCGTACTTCAGCATTCTCGTGAACTCCACATAGTCAAATTTTCCGTTCTTAATCGGCGCTCCGTTAAACAGCTCGTCCACCATTTCGTCCGTCCACCTGTCACCCATTGACGTCATCAGCGTCCGAAGTCTCTCCGGTGTGATCTTACCTGAAATAAATTTAAAAAAAAACTACAGCCATTTTGTAATAGTAGAGACACCTGGTTAGTAATGAGGCCTGGTCGTGATACACAATAAATCCATTGGACCTGCTCATAAATGGCTGAATTCACTTGGTAGAAGCAATAGGGTACTAGTAATCCCCTGCCCTTGCCGTTTAACTCTCCAGATATTTTATTTCTGGGTAGTCAGGATGTGGAAACTACTGGGGAAACATTTATCCGAGGATGGCCACTATCTCTAGCTTTGGCAACACGCCTGCTGTGTTTGGTGTAGGTGAACGGGATGAAATTACCGGGGTACTTGAATTGGGATACCTCTGTAATCTAGCACCTGATCTCCTCTAATGATAATCTAGACCCCGCCCTCTGTAAAGGAGGGCAGAGGGTCAAACATATGTGGGGACTCCCCATGGCATTCTTTTAAGTCTCAAAACGTATACTTGATTCTGACTTTTTTAACGCAAAGCGTGGAGATTACAGTAGGGTTTCATACAGAGGGAGAGCTCTACTCAATCATTGCATGTAGACTTAAATTCAGACAATTAACGCACTTGGCCAAGTGTCAACGAGCCTAATGAAAGCCCAATTTTAAGTGTTAACCAGATTGTTGCCATGAACACCTCCTTCCCAGGACGCCAGTGATGGTGCTAATATGTGAACACTTAAATTGGGTTTCCATGTCAACTAACCGGCTTTAATGCCTATCACGCCTACCGAATCAGCTAGGGGGTAAAGATAATTACCCCAACAGCTTTACCAGGCATGACAGACATTTAAGCCAGTTAACTTAACAGCAATTTAGTGAGACTCCCCAGGGAGATAGATCGATCCAAATATCTGTAGGAATTGTCCCTTACACAACTGTGTCAAATGGTCTGTCTTTATATTACGGTTTCTAGCCCACTGGAAATAACAACGCAAATTAATTTACATCAATAAGTTGCCCAATTGGCCCAATTTTCTATAGGGTCTTATAGGACTTTTTTGTAAGAATGATGTATTTTCTTCAACCTCGAGGCGACACCTGTTCTCAATGTGTTTAAACACCCATACGACCAAAACGACTTTTGGTAAATTAGTTGAAGGAATTCTACATAGGTTTTCGAACCATCATTTATCTAAACCGCCATTCCCCGGGCGTCTTCCTGACATTTCTCAATATCCGCATCAGATACGCTTTAGATATACTTTCATTTGAGCGGCTCTATCGTGTTTGTGGTCTAACTAGAAAATGATTCGCTATGAGCTTTGTAGAGTTTAATTCAGACATAAATATTTTACTTTGGAATATTTTCAGACACGTAAAGAATTCATTTAACTGTATTAATTTTGACAGTGAATGAATCGGTATGAAAGGCGCGTACATGTACCTGTGCCGTTTTCATCAAAACACCCAAAAGCATTCTTGATGACGTCAGCAGGGTCGGTGCCGTTGAGTTTCTCGCCAAATAACGTGAGAAACATCGTGAAGTTGAGCGGCCCGGGGGCCTCGCTCACCATCTCCTCCAAGTAGTCATCATCCGGGTCTTTTCCCAGTGACGTCAGCATCTCGAGAAGGTCTTCTTTGTCCACGAAACCATCGTGATTCTGGTCGATCATATTGAATGCTTCCTGTTTGACAAAAAAAATGAAATAATAAAGGTGATGATGATAAAAAGGAATAAACAGATCAAAAACATATCATTCACATAAAGAAACTGCTTTTACCCCTTTCACCGTAATAGATGTGCACCCTAGAGGAGATTCTTCTTTTAAAAACTTAAACTGTTTACTGAAAAAAATGTTTAAGTTTCCTTGCACTATCACAGAGCAAAAGATATGCCGATAAGGTAAATTTGTTATCAAATTCACTAAAAGATAGATAAATAGGCCTAAATCGATATATTAGAAATTCGAAAAATATAACAGTGATAACAACGACACCAAAATCATTTTTAGCCAAGCAGCATTTTAGAAACAGCCTAGACACGCCATTGCGTTTTGTTAACATCCCAACCAATCTCATCAATCCAATGGGTGCAACGGTGAATTCCAGCATTTTCCAGCACATTCCCTCATCTCTGCAACACAATGTGTACGTCACAACCAACACCTCCGTCTCACCAACCGCAATCAGCTGCCTCGCCTACCTTAAACTCCTGTATCTGCTCCTGGTTGAACATGGAGAACACGTTGGACGTGTAGCGACCTGTTCGAGGCCGTTTATTCTTCTTCTTGGAACCCTTCTTGCTCGACATCCTGGATATTTTGGTCCTAGTTCTGAAAGCGAAATATTTTAAATGAGTCAGAGAAGGGTTTACAGTGTAAATACCTCCTTCAAAAGGTTTTAATCGACTACTGGTGACTGGTATATAAACCGATCCTACGTAAGGACTGCAATATTGGAAGTGTTTCAAGTGAAAGCCATATCGCATTTGTCATGAATTTAATTAAAACATGTTTGACAAATACATACTATAAATAAAGTTATTTGTTACAGTTTACAGAACACCAAATGAGTTTGTTAATAAGTTCCTGTTCTACTGGACTTGCGACCGCCGGAAAACCATACGGGTATTCCAAATCTCACTCATAGAAACGGGTAATCACATGCACACCCAAACAAATTGCACGAATAATATAACCCCTATTCAAAGATATGAGTGTTTCAAAAGCTTCTTCGGGAATTATAAGTGCAAGAACTTTACTCAATGTATGTTTTCTCAATTGGTCTTTTCCCTGGACGTTTCGCTTCGCTTCGCTATTCAACAAAATCAGGATGTGAAATATTAAGAAACACATACACACGTATCTATTTTCCATAGAAATCATTCAGACACCAAACTGCTAACATTAATTAGCCAAAGTATCTCAAGTGTCTGGAAAAGACGATAAAGTTGAACAGTGCCTATTTGTAGAAAGTGCACTTAACCCCAAAACGACTGCGTTCTTCTTAGATACAGGGATATTCTGACTTGCAAATTTAATTAAACGAGGTACCCTTATCTGTTATCTGGCTACTGGGAGCTTTCTAAGAGCGACGGGGTCCAGCTGGAAGTAAAAATTGTAATTACCTAGAGTATCGGACCGGTGTTTACGCATGTGCTCGGCTCTGTTTACACAAGAACAACGTTGGTTCTATTCACGGCGCACCTGGTGTGCTTTCTTTACTTACTTTCGTTGCTGTGACGGAGAGGGTCACTTTTTTCTTTCTTTCTTTCTTTCTTTCTTTCTTTCTTTCTTTTCTTTCTTTCTATTTTATCTATTCTTATTATTATTATTATTATTATTATTATTATTATTATTCGTTTCGTTCTGCAAGTTAACACGTAACATTAGCGTTTGGACAGCTTCATGTGTACAGAAGGTTTCATAAAGAGCAACAGACAAATCTTGTGGCAAAGACATTCAAAACTATATAATAAGCACGCTTTAAGCACTATCATTACGTAAACATGTACGCCAAATAAATGGCAGCTTAATGTAAAACAGACAGTTGCCCCACAAATGTGAATATTGGGCTAAGGTTAAACTAACCCCGCTAAAAATACCAGCTAATGTGCGTGAAAAAATTAATCTAATACGTTTCCAAAATCGAGGTGAATCGTGTTTCAGTCCCGTTTTCTCCCTACCCTCTACGAAAGGTTTCTTTCTATAGCGAACATAATTCAATTTAATTGCCTTTAAAGGTGTTTTCATCTTCAGCTAAGGGTGCATCTATCATCAAGTTTCCCCTTCATAGACTTCAAACGGCAGCGATACGGGCTGTTCAAAGACCACACGAGAATGATTTAAGGAAATTCCGCCACCTTTCAACCCCCTTCCTGGAGAAATTCAGTGCCTCTGACCTAACATCGAAAGATCCTCTCTCTCTCTCTCTCTCTCTCTCTCCCTTATAGGTGAAGTGTCTTGTCTTGTTCGTTTCTGCCAAACCATCACCCTTTTTATAGGAGGCAGGTCTTATAAACGGATTAGGGGTTTAATAATTCGACCCACAGATGTTTTAGCGGTAATGCTCATATTAACGACATAACCCACAAATTAACCAGCGCTACCAGAGCGGATGTATGTTAATGATTGCTAGGTATCGCTTTGTTGGTGCTAAATAATTTTACGGTGCGTTGGTTAATTTGTGGGTTTTGTTGTTACTATGGGCGTTAGTGCTAAAAGATCTGCGGGTAGTGTTAGTAAACGCCTTACCCGTTTATAAGGCCTGGGAGGCGTCTAAGAAAAAATATACAATACTCTCCATTGGAACGTAACACGTAATCGTGTGCACCCATCAAAGTTTCTTTAAACAACAAAGCGGTGTTTCTTGCAGAGCCATGTTTCCAATATAATATCTGAAACTAATGGTACAGATATTTAGTGCTCAGAAAGAGCACATTTACCTATAGGTTTGACTTTTCTCAGTGCATCTGTCCGACACTGACTCACTGCTTTCCTTTCAGGTTTCTTTTCTTGGCTTGAATTCACATCTATCAAATCTTGAAGAGAACGCTGTGCGCTATTTAAATTCTTGCTCGAAATAGGGACTCGTTACATCTTTATCTGCGTTAATGTAACTTACTTCTGTGGGCAAAGTTACTGGTGTGTTTTAAAGAATTTTGACAATACAAATAACAACTTGTTTACCAAAACCTTAATCTATGAAAGTCAAATTGCAAGTTATGAAACGTAGATATTTTGAATCAGTCAAAATTATACACACATGCTAGAGATAGAGCTTGGACTGTATAGTCCATCCCCTCCCATTCAATACAAGCGCTTGACAGGCGCCATAGTGTGAGACAAAAAATCAAACCGTTACCTTATCAATGAAGACCTCTGCTACTAAACATTCCTACCCTCGCTCCATGCTTCCAAGTTTCGTTCAGCCTGTTACATTCCTCTGGAGATTCTGTTCATATCTCACCTGGAGCGTCTTTATGATTACCTGGGGGCAGACCCGTAACACTTTTATTAACGGTATCTGTGGTCCCTATTCACTGCCGGGAATAGACCAAATGACGTCACAAGACGACAAGGCAGCGAAACAGGGGAGTCATATTGCTCAGGCACGATACAGAGGTTGCAGTTGGGAGTCTAGATACATTCTTGCACATATCTGACGGTTTGGTTAATAATACATTGAAATGCAGCGAGAATTAGAACACAATTCGTACAAACCGTTTTGTTTATAGAAACGTCCCTAGCGACCTATGTTGTGACACGCGAAGTATACGCACCCCACATTATATCTCTGCCCACCACATGGCATACGTAGGTACACCATGGAGACTCCAATAATAGACCTCAATCACAGCAGCGGACTAACAGATCCTAGGATCAAATATGGCGACCCACTTAAAAAAAAACTTGCCGCATAATCCCCTATTAGATACTGAATAGATTCCCCGATGAGATAACGCGACAACCATTCTAGTAGGTCGGCCATATTTGTCGGAATATGTTGTGAATGCAGCCATAGACGTGAAGTGCAAGTTAACTGTGAAACTCATGGTGTGTGTTAGTCTTGGATGATGAACAGAAAGCGTTGCTCATCGCAACGTAGTGCAAATGGTACCACAATGATCTAAAATAATGTTGGCAAAAATAGATATTAAAAAGTGTCAACAATTTCGTACAGAGTCAATGCATGAAGTGTTCCTTGTAAGGCAATGATGTCCACCAATCTATCCAACATAAGACAAACATGTACCTTCCTAATCTTTTTTATATTAGTTATATTGAGAGAAAAAAGTATAGCTACTAAGGAAGCAGTAAGAGATAGCAATAGCAGGATTTAGGATTGCAATCCATATTAATGTTAAGACAGTAGTGGGTTTACACTATTCAAACGTTTGTCCTCTGGGAAATATGACCTAGTTGAACAAGGAAATTTTCTATGTTTACTCAATGATTCTTCTGTCGATTCAAAGAAAAAGACGCTTTCTCGCGGGTAAAGACACACGCACGTACACGATATACTAACAGTTCTAACACCGGTCAACCATATATAGTTACTTGGTTTGAACCCACATATCCCATGTTACATCTAATAAAACCCATTGTATTTTCAGATAGCCTCAAATTCGCCATCAAATTAATAAGTTGTCATTCTCAAAGTAACTCAATTATATCCAATGAAAATAAGCACAATTATATTATACTTACCGCAGCTATGCTATATTAATCAATTATAGTAAAACGTCTTCGCCGGTTAAAAGAAATGGCAAACTAACAGGGCACGAACGTACGTAGTTTTCCAAATTACTATCCTGGTCTAAACCTCATTACGTTCAAAAGCTCTCCACTCTGTTTACCTGGATGTCTAAATGAAGCTGTTAAATTGGTTTTCATGTTCCTGAGATGTACCAGGCGACAGCTGGACGTGAGTGTATGTCAGGGGGAGGCACTCGTGACGTCACTGTGTACAGGCGTTTTCAGACTGAGGAGCTGTGGCAAGTTACAGTGCGTGCTTTCACACCATTACGGACTAATAGTAAAATATCCAACGATCTAAATTTTACTTTATGATTAGCTGATTTTTGTTCACTGTGTGGCAGAAGATGCTGTTTGAGACGAGACGTCTCTAAACTGCACATTACGTCAAACAAGAAAGTCATTTACGCACAAACTAAGAGACCATTCCCGCAGATATTTGGATCGATCTATCTCCACGGGTAGTCTTACTAAATTGCTATCTGTTATCGGCGAGGCCAAGCGTGCCAAAAGGTAATTACCCCCTAGTTGATTCGGTAGGCGTGACAGACACTTTAGCTTCTTAAGCTGATAGATATTTAGCGTGAACCCCCAAGGAGTTAGGTCAATCCAGACGGATGGATGTAGGCATGGGAACTAAGTCTTATAATTCTTGCCGGATTTAGGATGATTTCCAACCACACAGAGGTAGAATATTTCCCGCCAATCGTTAAGTCATCAAAGGATAATTCAGAACAAAAAAAAACAACGATATTTTATACCCACTTTTTATTATCATTATGCAAAATCGCAAAAAAAAAAAAAAAAGAATTAAAAAAAATACCAACAACACATTATTGCTCTCTTCATGGCTGCTATTACATGTCGCAGTAAGAAGAAATAAATATATTTCTTCCTAGATGTAGTTCTCCGACAAACCTATAAAACATAATGAACACTAAATTTGAAGCTAACTCTAACGTTGTGTGTTTTAATTGAATAATCTAAATCTCGTCTTTCACCCCTATTTGTACTCTTTTAACCCAAAGTCTCATTTACAGAAACTTAAGCGCTAGTCTCACTGGCTAGATTTGCCTATTGAAAAGATCTTATCCTTTTCCTGGGTAGAGTGGTTTGGAAGGTGCATCAGGAGGGAAAGACAAGAGAATCTGGACCTACTCAGACTGGCCTCGGTTGGGCATTCTTGTGATCCATAGCCACTGAGTATCTTTTCCAAAATCAAAATAAAAAAAAAAAAATGAGTTTGTAAAATACAATTTGCCAGTAGACAGGCGTGTCATATACTGTGGGTTTCTGAAATTTCATAACTAAATGCATGTATGCCCAATGGCGGGCTAAGGAAATAAAGCCGAGGAAGAGAAATAAGACCTCGTCACATGGCTAAAAACATTTGGGCTCCTATAGCGTGGTTCTCACTTGTTCTAGAATGATATAACAACTGAATGATCGTGTCTTGGATATTCAGAACTATCGCCTGGCTCTACTGTAAGTTAAAAACAAACAAACCCCTTGCACATGTTAGTTTTCTCTGGACGGATTTGTAATGTAAAAATGACGTAAACTTCCATACACTACACATGGACTTGGAAGCTGTATTTTCTGGGCGACTTGTTTTTCATTTAACACTAAGAGTCAACACACGTTGATCCTCTCCATGTACTTATGCCACAGTCATTCACCGGTGTCTTATTCAGAGATACCTTGTACGTGAGAGAATTGAAACCGCTAGTAGCTTGTCAGCCTGAATTCGATGTGAGACCCATCCGTGGGTTTGAAATTATCTACACCTAAAATTAAAAACAAAATCGGCACCTTTTTCCATCTGAGACGTAAATTCATTAGGCGATATGGGAATGCTGGTGGCACAGACCATATAGATGAATGAATTAATTTAAAAAGTACCAAAAAAACCTATATAAATAAATAATGAGCAACCAATATCCATCAAAAACTTCTTCGTCCTCCACTGAATTCCATATCATATAACCCATCAAAATATATTTATCAGAGAAAATTATATCATCATTAAATAGTTAAAGTATAAATATGACAAAACATCAACTTACTGACAGTAAGTGCCTCATCAGGGAGTTTCTTTGTCATCCAGTATGTCCTCGTAGAACTCCCGCTTGCCACGCCCATTACTGACGTCACCTGCTCACCCCATTGGCTAGACGTGCTACTGAAACTGTAACAGAGAATCTGATTGGTTTGCTTACTTATATATCCGAGACTGATTGGATTTGCACCGGTACGCCCTGTTGTTGTTTTAGTCTTATTTATCTGAACTGTCTTTGGTGTGCATATTTTTAATCGATTTTTAAACATTTCTGTAAGCCTTTCAATAATACGCATACAATATATACATAAATTTATCATTTTTTACTAATCACTGCTTATATCATATATCCTAACTAACAACTACTAATCAAAGTTAACTTACTCTGTCGTATTTTAAGACTTTACTTAACAATTATCAAAGAGATCACTATCAAGCCATTATGTACCTAAAGGACGCATCATTTTGCTGTAATAAAACCAGTGCATCAAACAGTGACGCACCAGCGGGGATTTCCACGCTAAATGTGGAGTTTACTGCCGTCGTGTTGACCAAGTCACTGACCACGGTAACTTTTATTCTTATATATCTAGTGGGTGACGTCGTGGTGGTAGGAATAGTGCCTAACAAGAGAAACCCAGTCAGCGCACATAATAATAATAATAATAATAATAATAATAATAATAATAATTCAATGACTGTAAAAATTCTGCTTATTAAATAATGTGAGAATAAATATCTTGAACCAATGCCATGTGGTTCCTAGTAATGTGACGGAGTCTGCTTGTGTGTGTGTGTGTGTGTGTGTGTGTGTGTGTGTGTGCGTGTGAGAGAGAGAGAGAGAGGAGAGAGACAGAGGGGCTCCATGCGTGCTACCTACTTTGCCGGCACATTGTTTTGGACATATTTTTTATATCGAAGTATGAGCGTCCTGCCAATGATGGTAAGACTTGAACTGTGGTAGAAACTTGAGCAAAGGATCCATCTTTTCCTGGTTGAAAAATTGATAAAAAATAAAATTCATGTACGGAATGCATGAAATATAAGAGAGCCAAACGGCAAAAACGAAAACAAAGACGTAAAAAAGTTGTTTAATGAAAAAAAAAAAATCAACATGTTTGCCTAAAACAGAATGCTGTAAATTTTCTTAGGTTATTACGCAGTGTCTGCTTGTGTAGGCACATAATTTGAAAATTCGAAGCCATACTTATAGGCCTACTATACCTTGTTTGCTGACTAAGAAGTCATTTGACTGGTTTGTCAAGTTTGAATATCCCCCGATTGCATTTAGAGCCTATTGAAACACACAAATATACATGTACACATCAAAACATTTTACAACAGACTGAATATTGTAATGAAAACTTTCAACTCATCATTAAAAGTCGTTTCTGGCAGGAAAAGCACCACGTACCTTAAAAAGACTGGGTTGAATTATAAGTATAAGATGAAGAGATTTTGATGTTTTTAAACATTAACAATTAAAATTAACAACAGATGACTCGAATATACCATATTTAAATTTTTAACTGTGCGTGCATGCTTTGGTGTAAACATTGAATAAATAAATAAATAAATAAATAAATAAATAAATAAATAAATAGGTATATAAATTCAAGATTATGATACAAGGGGGGGGGGAGGGGGGCAGGACAACCACGGTGCCTTAGAAACCATCACCTGTGCGGCCCAGGCGGTCTGGTGCACGTCCCCGAAGCTGTGATCCACAGGGTTGTACGCTGACAGTAGATGGTTCTTCCCTTGGGATATAGCGCCGCCTACCGACGGGACGTCTGGTTCTAGGCAACGTAATGCCATGACGGTGAGTGCTGCCTCTTCTAAAAAGGAAGTAAACTTTGAAGAATTACTTTTATTTGACAAAACTTACCAAGAAAAACCTTGCTTGAATGAATTGAGTTAATCTCGATTAAATCAAAATTATTCCAATTTTTCTCGTTCTCTCTAATACTACCTACCCACTCCAAAAGAATAATTTCCAGCGCTATTTGTCAACTGTTCGATGTGCTCCGTTTTCACTGTTCCTCCTGCGTTGCAAAGAGCCAGAACACCCCAGGCAAACGCAAAATTGTGATTAAAATCGTGTTTTGGATAGTTGGCCACGTGATCCTCCAAAAGATTCACTAAGTCGAACCCGTAGAAGTCACGTGGATGGGAGCACGTGGCCACCAGGGCGCAGACGTACTGGGCCAATTTCCCGCCATACCAGTCTGGGGTGTCAAGCGTGGCATTTCTGGAATGATATGAACAGCTTCATGATTCGAGAAGAAACCGATTTAAAATAACACCTTCAACATGTCTGCATTATTTTGCTTTAAGCCAAAGCGTCCCATAAATCAGAAACCACCTGCATCCGAACTTAAACTGCGTTTGAACATGGGACGTCCAAATTAAAACTATGAAAATCCCGTTCTACCTTCCCAGTGTTTACTATAGTTAGGTTGTCTCTTATGATATGTTAATCTGGTGTTGTGTGATCAAAGAAATCGTTTTGATCATGAGTTGGATTACACTTTCGACCAGAAAAGAATTTAAGGTTCTCACTTGGCTAACGCTGCCAAAATATCAATATGCATCCTATTTATGCTGGCTACCGTGTCAGCATTCGACCAATTAAGCCAACTGTCGTCTGCTAATATAACTGCCATCACTGCTTCAGCTTCGAGTCGCTTTCCCCAGCCCCAATTCTTGTTTCTTCTCGAGAGGAGCCACTTGACGCCATTATCTCTCGCCTTTTCTGTTTTGCTTAACTGTGGCGTCGCATCTCGACCTGAAATACAATTTCATATAAAGCTTGCTTTGTTTCTTTGTACCTCTCTAATACCTATTTATTTATTTATCTTTAAAAGTTTTGGCAAAAAAATAAATAAATAAATAAATAAAATAAAATAAAGAAAAATAAATAAATAAGTTGTTCATATTAAATTTCATTATAAGAGCTAAAGACGCTTAGTTAAAATATTTTCAAAAAGTTCACCATTAAACAAAAACAAAACTTTCTGGTGTCTTTGGAATAGCAAATATCCAAAAATTACATACAATGTATTAACCATCAGCGGGAGACAGCACGTGTGGAACGTCCACGTCCCTTTTTGCATTTCCCAGCACTGTTTAAAATTCTGAGTGTGCCATTTGAGGCAGAAATAGGCCTACACGTGCCATGGAGTAAATTTTATGGTCTCACCTCTTGCTACAGGGTTTGTCGTCCCTAACACAACCGCAACAATCACCGCCGTCACAACTAACAGAATCAGAAAGGTTGCCACCAGGATATCTACCCTGCGCTTGCGCAGACGGAATGGTTTGTTTGTAACTAGCTGCTCTCTTGAGTTCATTACCTGGAGATCTGGTTTAGGTCTAGACAAGACGAATTGCAATGGCTGATTAGACTTGCATCCTGACACGTTACTTGGGCAAGTTATACAAAATCAGTATTTTTTTTATTTATTTATTTACTTTGAGTTTTATCTGCTAAAATCGTCTAGGAGACTTAGCAAGTATGGTTCTAATCGTGTTTCACGTACTATTAGCCCAAAATAAATACAGAAGACATAGACCTACGAATGCCTAGTTTATATATAAGTTGCATGTTACAATGCTAGTAATGACCCCCAATCTTAATCTGTTTCACAATACGAACAAATGAGAATGAAAAAAAAAATTAAAAATAAATAAATAAATAAACAAGAAAACTCATGTCACTGAACGAAGGGATTACACCCCCCTCTGTTCACCTACTTGGTCGGTTGGTTACGTCAATTATGCTAAACAAAGTTATTCCTGTTAGAAATACGACTTAGGTCCCATCCAGAACAAGTTGATCCGCAGACCAATAGATCCGGCAGATCTGTAAGTCCGCGGCTAAACGTTGGTTGTGAATGTGGCCCTAGTGTGTCTCCATTTCTCACCTTGTATCAACAGCTAACTCCATGGCCGCCATACTGCGCAGAGGCCGCCCTGGTTATACCGCAGGCGTTGTATGTCTTGATGAAACAAAAAATGGAAAACATAAACATTAAGTACAAATGTTAAGGTAAACAATGCAGAAAACACTTTAAAATATTATTATCTTTAATTTCGGATTTAGGGAATTCAGGGTGGCTGTGAAAAAAATCATGCCAATATTCCCCTCTTGAAATTCGAATTTTGACTAGCTCAATCATAGTTCTAAACCGTACAAAATAAACGGCGCCGTTTGCCCTCCAAAATCAAAGCTTTTCGGAACTCATGAGCGGGTCTTGGACCACATGCCAAGGTGGCTAGGGTCGGCTGCGGCGACATCGCAACCCTAGGCCTGTCATTCTTTAAAAAATCCCGTACCTCCTTTTCTTAACCATGTTCCCCATTCCTTGTTGTCCAAGAATAGACACATATCTCATAAGGGCAATTAAGCCTCAAGAGGGCGTATTTCTCCAGTGAATAGAACTTTGCTAAAAATAAGATAGCTCTCTGATTACTTTTTATTGATTTTTCAATCAAACGCTCTTCGGGTCTTTCAGGATAGAAGATAAATGAATAGACTGGACTCTGGAAACTAAAAACACATAGCAGGGGCGGATCTAGAGCTATTTACCGACAGTCTTCCAAATTATCTCTGTTGATTCATCCTTCAATTTTGACCGTCTTCCAACAGAAAAAATAGATACCCGTCAGTGTAAACTTGAAAATCTGAACGTCTTCCGAAAGACCCAAAAGACGGCCTAAATCCGTCCCTGCACAGGGATTTTTATAACTTTTATAAAATGTTTTACAATACGAATGCGATATCACTGGAGGTTGGACGCAATAAGGAGTTGTGGGTTGCCAAAATTCCGGGTATCATCACAACCAAGATCGCAGCTAACGCAATTAAGACCTAGCAGACACCCCACATTTGCTTTTCAAGATGACTTTCATTTCACCTTAGTGTATAAACGACCGATTCGGCATTAAGTCGCTTTATAACCAATATTCAGATTTTTCGAGTTTAGCAACAAATGCTCGTTGGGTAATGCCGTTACCACTTTTCCTGCTCGAAGACTACGAGAGCTACCAGACCTTTGCACTAAATTCGAACACCTTGACCTCGTAGAGACCAACAACATTTACGAACATTCAACGCCCCTTTGAGCAATAAACTTCCTGAATCGAGTTTTGAGGCTGCACAGCTTAGAACTACGTCAAGTCAACTTTGTTTTCCAACGGCATATAGTTCACACAAAAAAGTATATGCTCTATTATAATAAGCTTTGGGATCGATTTCAATACTACTGCCAAACCTCTCTGGTTACGTAGGCAATGCAATCCAGAATATAAAAATAATACTAGATATGTTGTAATAACGATCGAGTAGGCCTACTTACTTCTGATATCAGCGTCCGCCCCCCTTGCGTCTAACCTATATATATCTTTCAATGAGGCAGGGTCTAATTGTGCCACTAGAGGGCAATCCGGGTCAGAATGCGTACAATAGGTCCCAAATATACAGGTAGACTCTGCTCCGCAATGTGGAGACATGGCCTCGCGTGTGCCATTGAATTCTTCTCATGTAGTCCTCTCGCTAAATAGGGCGGTGTCGACTTGACTCAGTTTTTGGACGTACATGCTACTAGTTTACTTACCGCAGGTACGCAGTATGGAAGGCGGCAAAATGAGGCAATCTTACGGTGGTTTCATTTTAAGAGGCCAATACGGCTTTTATAATTAGGCCTACCATAAGCCCAGTCATGTCACCGAGTTGTCTGTTTTTGAAATACCTAGCCGTGCTTATTACATACGACTGATAGAAGGTCCATGGCGTGCAGAGACAAGTGATCAAAAATGAATTACCTCTTAGTGTAATGGTCTTTACATCCCTCTGGGTCTCTCCTTCTTCATGGCCGGGAGACCGTTTGGAGAGCACGGCCCATCTTCATGCCGGAAGTTTCCTCGTTGAGGTCGTAATATCAAATTTACAAAAGAATTTAAAAAAGGTCTTCTTCTAGGTCTGTTTCCACAAAGCCTTCCCCTTTATAGCGCGTAACATATACCAGGCAGGTGGATCGATCGCTCAGTCACGTGACTTGTGAGAAAAAACGTGAAAAGGTTGCCAAGGAAAGAGATTGTTGGAGTGAGTACGCGGAGGAATCGCATCGCTGCTCGTGTATAGATGCCTCGCATTGTTGGATCGACCTATGTTTCAAGCAAGGTGGATGTTTTTCTCTTTCTTCTTTTTTGTTGATCTGTTTGTTTTGTTTACCCACAGGGCGGGGAAATGAAAACGCCCCGTTATAATAATGGTAGTAGGTAACGATGAGGTTGACAATTCCGCACAGGGGGCTGATCCTTGCAGAATTAGTTTATTATTTATCCTATTAATATTCTTATTCATAATCTTGTTCTGATTTTAAGAGTCCATGTAGCTGCAGTTATCCTGGTTAAACTTTAAATAAAAACGTGCACTGATATCTGAAGTGGACTTTCAAGAAAAATACTGCAATTTGAAACATCGTCTTCATTTTTTAATTTAAGACAAGGTCAGAATCCGTCATAGTGCTTTGGAAAAAGGACACCTTTCCCCGTACCTCTAACCACCCCCCTTTCCCCCCCCCCCCCCCCCCCGGAAAAAAAAAAAAAAAAAAGAAAAGAAAAGAAAAGTAAAAAAATCCTCCTTGCTCACCCGTATATGATACCACATTAGTTGCTGTCGACGTCCTGTCATCACTGCATTTGTAAGGAACTTACATTGAATAAAGGCAAAAAAATAAAAAGACATTATACGACAGCCCGAACAACCTCAGAGTAGGCTTTGTAAAATGGAAACTAGAGTTTTAAAAACCTCGGTTGTATTAAAAACAGAAATAAAGAAAAGCTCACAAATAGTTTTGACACAAACATCTATCATCTATCACAGTTTGACAGTAGACTCAGATGGCAGACGTCATATTTCTACGTAAGACTCCCACACAGTACTAGTATCGACTTTGTGCTGAAAACCCCTTTATTGTTTCTTCTTCAGACCTACAAAACACTCTGTTACATATTTATTGTATTGCCTATACTTTAATTCTGTATACCATCTTAAAGGCCCCTGATATCATAGGGTAGGTCTACTATGCTAGCACAGGCATATCGCGCTGAAATTGTTTCTTCTTCAGACGCAGGCCTACAATACCAGAACAAATCGCATTGTCCTGTCTATTCTTCAGAANTTTGGAAAAAAGGCCCCCTTCCCCCTTCCCCCAACCCCCCCCCCCCCCCCCCCCCCCCCCCAAAAAAAAAAAAAAAAAAAAGAAAAGAAAAGAAAAGAAAAAAATCCTCCTTGCTCACCCGTATATGATACCACATTAGTTGCTGTCGACGTCCTGTCATCACTGCATTTGTAAGGAACTTACATTGAATAAAGGCAAAAAAATAAAAAGACATTATACGACAGCCCGAACAACCTCAGAGTAGGCTTTGTAAAATGGAAACTAGAGTTTTAAAAACCTCGGTTGTATTAAAAACAGAAATAAAGAAAAGCTCACAAATAGTTTTGACACAAACATCTATCATCTATCACAGTTTGACAGTAGACTCAGATGGCAGACGTCATATTTCTACGTAAGACTCCCACACAGTACTAGTATCGACTTTGTGCTGAAAACCCCTTTATTGTTTCTTCTTCAGACCTACAAAACACTCTGTTACATATTTATTGTATTGCCTATACTTTAATTCTGTATACCATCTTAAAGGCCCCTGATATCATAGGGTAGGTCTACTATGCTAGCACAGGCATATCGCGCTGAAATTGTTTCTTCTTCAGACGCAGGCCTACAATACCAGAACAAATCGCATTGTCCTGTCTATTCTTCAGAAGCAGGCTCTCATGTGAATACTGTCACCCGTAAGTTGCAGAAGTTATTGAGAACTGGATCCCCACCATCAGCACGCATTTTCTGTTTTCCTTAGCACCCAGAGTTTCAGGAATAGCAAGGGGAAAAAAACACTATTAACACGTCCTGTCGTTACCAGTAACTGGTGGTCTTTTAACCTAGCAACAGTAGTTTCTTTACATTAAAAAAAAAAATTGAACACTTTTTAAATAGTTTTTATCCGAGAGCAGTAACACGTTTTAATTTGTTTTTAAAGCTAATTCTTAATTCATTTATTAATTCATTGTGTTGCTTTTATTTTTTTCATCAAATTTTGCTCCAAAGGAAAATGATTTCCGATTTTTATAGTTGGCTGCATTAAGTTTATTATATTTTATCTTTAGTTTCCAGAAGTTTCTGAACATCAGGAGCAGCACCATCTGCTGTGGGATGAATACCTGATCGTTTTACTCACCTGGTCCATGCTGTTGTATTTCCAGCTAACGTATTTTCCGTTTTTAAGTTAATAATTATTAGTATTCGCCAAAAGATGTCAAATACTTACTCTCAATATTTCCTGTTTGTGACTCAGGCCTATACTCCTCAAAATGCTAGAATACAATGCAACTGATTAATTTGTCAATAACAGATAAGACGTATCAAACCTATTTGGTATCAAGCTCAAGTCCGCTTCTAAGGTGCCACATATCTTGGGTTTTATTTAGCGCTGACGAATTTGAATCCTGTTATATAAAATAGACATCTACCTCGTTATTCAGTAAAAAATGTAGGCCTAAAATATATATAAGGACGGATTATGGCAATGTACACAAAAGACAAAAAAACAACCCATTGTGTATTCTCGCCGCTTACTGACGTGTAAATACACCCGGGGCTGTCAGTTGGCCTAGATCTATATAGATCCAGCGCGGGTGTGCTTGGGCTCTTTCCCAATGACATTATCGTTCTACGTTGATCAATCCATGTCCGCGGGGACTCTCGCTGCATGCAGTCAGATGAATAGATTAATGACCACGTCTCCTGAAGTCTGGCATTGAGTGGAATGCAGAAAAGCTGGTGATTATACGAGTATGTTGGAAACAAGGAGGTGTGTTAATCTGATTGCATTCAGCCAGACACCCCATTTCCAGAGATTAGATCGATCTACTTTAGATCGACCTAACTCCATGGGGGTTCACGCTAAATAGCTGTCAGCCGAGCGGACACGAAAGTTAATTACCCCGTTACATCTTGTAGTAGGCGGGACGGACATTTAAGCCGGATTATCTGACAGTAATCTAGTGAGACTCCCCGCGGGGATAGATCGATCTAAAATCTATGGGAATAGAGCCAGAGTCTACACGGAGTTGGATTGATAAACGTAGAACAATAGTTTCATATCCTTGCCTAGATTCACGACTAACTCATCTTTAGAACTGCCAGCAAAGGACGATGACAAATTAGCGTGTGGTGAAAAATAGGAAAGATATCGCTAATTCAAAAGGAAAATAATCAATGAAAATGGAATCAAGCAAATAAAATGAACCGGCAAAAATATAAGGAACTTCCCCCTTCCCTGCCATGGGAGATTGCCTCATCAAAGAAGTCACATTTTAAAAGTACAAAACACCCCATGACCAACTAAGTCTCGATCTTCAGTCATTTTTTATGGTTTAATTCGTTAACAGCGGCCACTTGAGATGCATGAGGAGTCTCAGGTGCATTATAGCCCGTCCTAACTGTACAGTTATATGACTCCAAGTCAACGAACAGGCAGCATCGTAAAAATCGATGGCATTCCCCTCAGACATTGCGTTCAATTTGAGTGTCCTTAGCAATTCCGTGAGAGAAAGGACAAATGGAGGCCGTGAAATTTCAACGGTCTTCTAGATTATGGTTTTGTGCTTTCTAGTCATCTTGAGACTCCACTCCCCCCCCCCCCCCCCCCGGAGTCAGCCACATGTCGTCATAACCACAGCAGGGCCCCGTATCTCGAAAGTTCGCTACGTGCGCAAGCGTCTCGATTCCATGGCCCCGTATCTCGAAATAGAATCGGTTATGGAATCGAGACACTTGCGCAACATTGCGAACTTTTCGAGATACGGAGCCCAGGGCTCGGAATCTCGAAAGGTACGCTATGTTGCGCACGCGCTATAGCATAGCTAGCGTGCGCTATTTGCTAGTGCGATTGCACCCACCTGCTATCTCGAAGCCTTAGCAGACGCAACGCAATTATAACCTCAAACTCTACTAATAATCGATTGCCGCATAAAGTGAAGACGTCATAACACAATTACACAAAATGGAATTTTTTTCACCATGACGCATAATCAAGAGGTTGTTTTTATTTATAGGAATATCATAATAACAAATACTGATATTTGAAGTATTTGACACCAATAAAATGTCAAAAAACAATTCAATAAGCGAAGCTTGGACTGACACAATTACTGACACACTGGTGAGTAGTGTTCAGTCTCACAATAATAGACATTGAGGAAGGTGACGGTGCGACCGAATGCTTTGTTTCTGTTTTTTCATTTTGTGTGGAAAATGACACTTTTAAATTTATTATTATTATCAATAGACTACACAGATGAATGAGATGCACCAGAAGATATAAAATGATGTATGAAATGTTTAATTTTGAAATTTTTCTGCATAATAAAACATGACTTTGGCATTCTTCACGTGAATATTTACCGCAAGTTTTTCTATCAGAGGTACCAGTGATTCAATCAATTAAAAGCTTCCATGTTTTTGTTATATGTTTTATTATATGCTATTATGACTAGCAACCCAAACTTGCCACCATGTTTAATTACATGAAAGACACATTAAAATGACGAATTTTGCATTCGCAGAGGCCTTTGCGACTAGTTTGTATCGCCGCAAATAATAGCCTCGAAACTAATGGCGATTTGGACATTAGCGCACGGCCGGGATTTGCGAAGCTTTCGAGATATGGGATAGCGCACGCTAGCCATGCTAGCGCAGGCGCTCAAAATAGCGATTCTTTCGAGATACGGGATAGCGCACGCTAGCCATGCTAGAGCGTGTGCGCAACATAGCGAACCTTTCGAGATTCCGAGCCCGGGTCGCCACTGAGGAAATGAAGACAATGTTCTTCTTTTAGTTATAAAATTTTAATTAGGATTTTTTTCTAAAACAAATATTACATGATACTACAATGTAGTATTTACCTGTAGCTTCTAGCAATAAAACCCTAACAATGCCCCCTTTGGCACTGGAAACCTCCTTAATTCATCTCATAATGCATCTTAATGATTTTACATATGATAATGAATGTTAATTATAAATGATTGCATTCTGAGAATGCAGACGTTTCTCAAATCAACGAAGAAGAATGAACTGGCAACTGTCTACAATATGCAACCTTAGTTTTTCACCATTTCAACTTTCTTTCAAGAAAGATAACTTTCACATAAACTAAATAGATAATGTAATGAAATAAACTTTAATAACAAAAAATATGAGAGGTTAAAGTCTGCTAGTATATGAAAATATGTTGCATGTGTGAGTTATCTCTTCCTTCTCAATCATTAATTTTTCTTAATCACAAAAATATTTTTCTGTTGAAAAGCCCAAGTGTTAGTCTGTTATTTTTCATCTCTTTTAGCAGACAGGGTCAAACACTTGTATTTTTTTTTCTCTATATGCTGTTAGGGCCAATTATGTGCCATGTCCCCTTTTCTTCCTCTTTTTTATTTTGACAGACAGGCAAAAACATGAATGTCTTCCTCTTTATAAAGACAGACCCCCAGGGCTAATATGTTTTTCTTTTTATTTATCGTAACGACCCAACGTTTCACTGATCCTCCTCCTCATCATCATCATCTGTCATTTCTTCATTTTCAGGTACCACCTCCACCATCAGACCATCATCATCCTCATCTGTTGTCTGTTTGGCTGGAAATTAAGTAAAAACAAAGTAAAGGTTGGCTTCACAGCCTGGTATGCTCTGTGAGATATCAGTCAGTTTTACAATGTAAGCAGGAAAGCATACTTGTATAAATTGCTGCGATTTTAGACAATAAATCGTAGATTTAACTCACAACACAACTCAACCTTGGCTCAGTATTGACATTGAAAATCCAGAAATGCAAGTAAATTTCCACATAAATGAAAAGCAATGCTCCTATTTCTGTCGAAGTGAGCCGAATTTTTTTCCCTATATAAATCACCCTTACGTTTTAACCTTATCTTGGGTGGTACAATATGGTCTTGTGTGTCTGAAAATTCCTCAAAAGTTCCATTATTTGACCACATGGCTTCCACTGAGATATAGAAATCAGCCATCAGGTGCCCAAATAACTTCTGAAATCAAAGTAAATAAAATTGGGAATTAATAAATTCCCTCTTATTGATAAATACTGATGTGTTACTGTGCACTATCTTACAGGAAAACTTATCAAAAAGTTGAAATACGTTTATCATACAGGTAAACTGAAAAAAAGGGCTTTTCATTCTTTTTCACAACTGAAATGTCACAAGTGAGTAAAGGTTTATGTTTACGAAAAGAAAAATTGGAACTTACTAATATTCTGCATTGTTCTGGCGTTAAAATGTCTCCCTGTTCGCAGACGGTATGGTCTGATGTGAGTGTGATTACGCCTAGGAGAAACATAATATACAAATACCACATACAGTCTTTATTTCATACTTATACATAAGATGGAACTGATGAAAAAAAAAAAAAAAAAACTCTGAACATTTATCATGGGACCCAACACCTAACAGACTGGAAATCTCAGGAACCATCAGAACTGAATTTAAAAACATGAAATTTCGCTTTTCTGTGGAAAAAAGCTCGCGTCTGATGTATTATTAAGTGAGAAATTCAGCACTATTTCTTTTTCAAAGGAGTTTTGAAGAAACTTTGCTAGTGAGATTATGACTGTGTATTAAATAGTGCTAATAAATGAGACCCAATGTGACGCTGCTCTGTCTAATCCAGGTTGGCCGTAAGCTAACAGTATGAAAGTATTTCAGCTTGTGTTATATAATAAGCGTATATACTTATATAGTCAGTGGTAATTTCAGGGGGTGGAATCACAATAATAATAATAATTATTATTATAATAATAAAGATATTGAAAATAATAATAAACTTAAAGCCAAAACTTGGTGTTCAGTTTTAGACCATAATTTTGGTCAACTTCAGGGGTCAGATTCTCAAATTTTGTATCATCTTTTTTTTCCACATGTAAAGGTAAAACTCACAGTGGACAAAAATGCAAAAAGTTGCAAAATGAATGCTCAATGATCAGCCAGTTGTCAATACATAAAGCATTATTATTTTTTAACTATCAAATGAGGCCTTACTAAGGGATGCAGAAAGGACACTGTCCAGAGTAAAGGGGGCTTAATGAACTTTTTTCCTCAATTACCTTTGACTAGTTTTGTGGCCAGACCCAGCTGTCTTAGCTGTGGTTCCATGGAGTGGGAGAACTTGCTGAGGGGGCCCTGGTCGATTACTACCGTCTGAGTTGCTACGTTGCCCGATCGCGCATAGTCCTTATCTCTGAACTCCTTGAACCACCTGTGTCAAAGAAAGAGAAGCACTTGTTTTCATTTATATAACATATTAAGCAAGCATAGATTACCTGTAATGTATAATTATATAATCCATTTCTAACAGTTTCTTTTAAAACTCAAATTTAATCCAGCTGCCCAAGGATAAATCAATTAATCACCTGACCTTTTCATCTATCCCTCTAGTTAATAAAAGTCTGTCAAACTAGAGGATCAGAGAGGCGATACCGCCTCCGAATATTGTACCACCAGCTGGAGCAAGCGCATTCGTATAGACNAATGCATGATACATTACTGCACAATAGCACACTGTGCAAACAAATATAATGAAATATAACACATGCAAATATACTTGAATACATGTTACTCACTCTAAAACTTCTTTTTTACTCTGATTTGTAAACAACAATCCCATCTGGCCACGAAGTCGTTTTGATAAAAGGTGAAGGTCATCTCGATATTCGTCTTCTGCTGTTCGTCCCAGAGCCAGGGCCATGACTTTGTTCTTACCAAAGAAAAATCTAAAACGGAGAAGCAAAAAACTTAATTTTTACAGATTACCAGAATTGTGAGCTATGTTCTTCAAAATATATAAAATAAAATATATATAAAAAGAAAATGTTAAGAATTACCTTAAAAGTAAATACTTTGTAACATTGACTGCATCTAATAATTATTCTACATTACTGACAGACTAGAAATGCTAAGAGATAAGTAAAAGTTAAAGTGAATAAATCATAAAATACAGTAATGACTCCAGCTTTTCAATGAAGAATAAAGATCTATAGACTGACCCTGTTGTTGTTGTTGTCTATATTTAAGGGACCATTCCCAGACCCTATTATACTAACTGTGGATCAATCTATCTCCACGGGGATTCTTGCTAAATTGCAATCAACTTAAGCAGTTCTGATGTCTGTCCTGCCTACTGAAGCTACTAGGGGGTAATTAATTATCGTTTAGCTGCTTCAGAAGGCATTCCAGTCATCTAAGCCGCTTAAGCTGAAAGCAATTTACTGAGAAACCCTTTGGAGATGGATCGATCCTGTTAGATCGATCTAGGTATGGGAACCTATATCGAGTCTTATGGAGCAGTACATGGATTTAAAAAAATTATATACAAGCAGTCATTTGTCTTGTGTCCACGACTACTTACCGACTATGTTTCCACTCTGTTCTGACATCTTTCAGCTTGGAATTCCTCATATTTTGAACAGAAAAAAGAAAAATTCTGGCATATTTGTCTACACAGTTCTGAATCTAGAAGGTAAAATATGATGAAAATTAGTCATATACCTTGTGTTTTCATTGGAACAGGAACATATATTGAAAGGAATTGTAGACAAAATTATACTTCATCCTCAGTTAAGAAACAGTGACACAAATACTCAGCAAGTGTAACACAATTTCATGGGATAAAATGATACCTCCTAAAATAGAGGAACAAATTAATGATTAAGCAAACAAATAGATGAAAAGCTGGATACATTACCTCTTGCACAAGCCCCTGTTTGAGCTCCAAACCTTTCTTTTTGGTCTGTGTTAAGGAAACTAAAAGAAATGAATAAAAAATAAATACACATGCATATATATATCAGTACTAAAGATCCACTTGGGTACCGTCTCATAATCATAACATCGTTACACTGTGCACCTTTATCAAACAAGGGAACTTGGTGGATTAATCTAGTCTGTACCAAATATTTTTTAGACCACTAGACCTTCGGGCAAGCAGGCTATAAACGATACTGGTAGGTGGCTTAATCTATATGCATGTACAACTTACAAGTACAGTACTAGTAAAGTATCTAGGCTAATATTTTACTGCAAAAACTGATTAAAAACTTGGCGGAACTCTCTTCTAGCAACAAATGCCTTAAAAGAAACTTGATTTGGGGGCAATTCTATTTGATATACCTCCCCCCCCCCCCCCCACCATTACTTCCCATCCCGTTAATTATCTACTTGATTAACATGCCCATTCAGTCTATATACAGTTAGCGAATTCACCACGCCCATGCAAATAATATTAATTTTTTTCGTCAATTCTGAACCCTTACTTCAGCTTCAAAGTATTCACAAAAACCGTCGGGACAAATTATGATATACAGTACTGTCATTAGAGTTGACTTGATACTTCACTTGTTTGCAGACTATCACAAGAACCTAATGTTTATAAAGCGTATCATTGATACATAATGAAGATCAAACCGTGCTAACACTCCACACAATATATCATTTCAACCTGGCCAGTTGATAGTCAGTATACCTACTCTTTTTGTCTCTTTTCGACTTCGGCATCTTGAAGCTTTCCACACGTGTTTATATTTTCCGGAAGTTAGCGTATGTTTTACGCAGGCGCAATGGCACGGGTCGAAAAATAAGGCTTCCCTGTGGTCCACCTGGAACGCGCACGCGTTCGGTCTTGAAATGTTAAGATATCGTTATGAATGAGAACGCCAAGGGATCATTAAGAATAATAATAATAATATTAATAAAAGGCCTACATTGAATTTTATTTTTCACCATAGAACTATTGTCAGGGACCACAGAATTAAAAAAAAAAAATAAAATAAAAATAAATAAATAATAATAAATAATAATAATAATAATAATAATAATAAATTATTTCCCAAATCTGTGGCCCCTTACACATAATGTACGTGCCATGCTCTGACGTTGGTTTGCTGTATTTTATCTCGGCTGTCACCTTGATCGGTTAATTAACGAAAAAAAAAAAAACGAATGGACTTTAAAACATCACTCTCGACTAGGCCTACCACAGCGCAAAGAAAGAAAGAAAGAAAGAAAGAAAGAAAGAAAGAAAGAAAGAAAGGAAAAATTAGCATCGGGTGAATTTTTTGAAGGCATTAAAATAAAATTGCAACATGTATGCGGTATACCGTATATACGGTGCTTAACCAAAAAAAAAAAAAAAAAAAACCTCGGTTCTGCCCCCTCCCCTAAAAAAGATCAGATCACCCTCAAACCAAGCCGACGTAGGCTACATGTTACTTCTATTTAGCCATTACTACATCATCCGAGCCCTACAGTAGGGGCCTATATCTGAATTTCTTTTTTCGTACTCGGAAGACGGGAGTAGACCCCTATTTAGTTCAGAATAAGTTTACTTGAAAATGCTCGATTGGTGTGATTCTTTGCAAATGCCACCGCCATATTTTTTCGGAGGAAAATTATTATGCGATTAGTAGAATTTTGTTCACTATCAAATGACCAACTGAAGTAACAAAATGCCTGCAAGCATTTGGCGTCTGTTCTTTTTCTCTTGCCGTATCAGAATGTTGTGGATGTGACAAAATGAAACAGTTACGTGTGATTTTTCCCAGTCCAGAAGTGATGAAAAGGAAGCACAGTGACATGAAATATATTACACCTGTTAAAATGACATTTGAGCATTTTTTGGGGAATTCATACAAAAAAAGAAAAAAAAATGGAGGTTGATTACCATGCAACAACTTAGGAGCTTTCGTCTAACTTGGGTTTTCCGTGCAGAAATGCGTCTCTGATTCATTAGGTTCGTTAAACGATCAATGCGACAGCCGAGCTTGCTTCTGTATACGTGACTTGTTAACAGATAAATGAAGACAGATTACATATCGACGCAAAGTGTTTTTTTTTTATTCATAAGGATTTGATAAAAAATTACATGTGCATCTAAATAAATTTTGAAGTATCATGAAAAAGACAACATAAATGATAAGCCTAAGTTATTCAATCAAATTCAACCTCAATTATTATCATTATTATTTATTTATTTATTTATTTATTTATTTATTTTTATTTTATTAAGTGCCCGGGAAGGGGCGAATTGAAAAATAATACGAGAGTGGGAGAAAATTGCTTTTTTTCCAAAGAAAATTCGATTTGGCAGATTGTGCACGTTTAATCATTTAGGCCCGACTATGAATTAACACATAGAGCTGTTTTTTGTTCTTGTCTCCGTCCGCCCCCAGCCCGTCTCTCCTAGGCCCTTTATAGGCCTACACCGTGATAAAACTTTCCTAGCATCCCTTAATTTTTGTCTTTTATTTTCCAACTAAAAGTGAAATCAAATTTTTTTATATCTTACATGTTGGTAATCAATGAAATTTTCCACTTTTTGTTTCAAGTCAATCCAGATCACCCACTGCAAATTTACCATTTATCTAAATAATGCACCTTAATTCTAGATTTTTTTCTTTTAAATAACGTCCGACAAGTGAACCATAAAATATTTAAATAATAGGCCTAATAAGTGTTTTAATAAATGATAGTTCCTTTGGCAGCTATAAGCAGATTGCCTCGAATGGCGGTGGGGGAGTGGGGAGGGGAGGTCTAGGCCTATTAGGCTATATATAGGCCTATATTGTAGGCCTACCGAGGCGGAGTTGGCGGGGGAGGAAGCTCCCTCCCTCCAACCGCTAGCTCGATCTCCACCCCTCCCTTTGTCGTAGGTCACATAATATGTCTTTTATCCCTTGTTGAAATAATGAGGTTAAATTAATTAGTTTTCAAGCAAAGAAAATCGGGTCGCAAGGTAGCGCGTCGGGGTTTTCCACAAACTGTAATAAGTTTACTTTCGTTTGGTATTGTTTTATTTAGACCTTAGTTGGCTATTTATAAATCGACAGCTGCCGGGGGTATCTCGTCTAGATCTGTAGACAACTACAGACGGTCTATTGACTTGTTCTGTGTATATACTGAACGGTCGATCGCTTGGAGGCTTACTTTTCATCCATACCCCCGCAAACTACCAGATGCATACTTTAGTTATTATTTATTGAACGATTTAGTCTACTACTTTCAGTCTGATTTCACAGCGACCCGGTATCTTAGCAACAATTGACGTCATCGACCCTGAAATTTGCTCCAGTAGTCCCCGTATAAGGAACTGCGGAATCCAGCGCTGGACTACTTTCAACTTGGGCACTATTTTCTCATTTTCAAATATTCTGGTAAATTTTTATCAAAAATTCAGTCATGTTTATCCCGCATATACTTGGCTTACCGCTTACTCAGATAATTATTCAATGCTTATCTCAGTTACATGAAAATATGATTTGTAACATGCAATTTTATACCGGTTCCCGCCATATGGCGTAGTAATAATTGATAACATATGTAAGTTGTTCGGTTAAGGAAATCCGCCATTTTGTGTTAACCAGCAAGGGACAGGCTAACACTTTGATCATTTTTGTGCACAATTTTCAGCATGTCTGATTCGGCCAAGAAAGATGAGCTGGTTCAAAAAGCCAAGCTCGCGGAACAAGCTGAGCGATACGATGATATGGCTGAGGCGATGAAAGAAGTAACAGAACTCGGCGCAGATCTGTCCAACGAGGAGCGAAATTTACTCTCTGTTGCGTACAAAAATGTGGTGGGTGCTCGCCGTTCCTCGTGGAGAGTTATCTCCAGCATTGAACAGAAGACGGAAGCAACTACGAAAAAGCAAGAAATGGCTAAACAGTACCGGGAAAAAGTCGAATCTGAATTGAAATCTATTTGTCAAGATGTGTTGGTAAGTGTTGCCTGACATTTTTGTCTGATGATGACTCATCCGGCTATTTCAAATTCAGATTTTGCATAATACGTGCATATTGAATATAATAAGGGAGTAACTTCAGTTGAATTGGTACGATAATGTGCACTGTTGACAGTAATGCTTTAGACATTTGCATTATTCTTTAAACTGTTTTAATTGCTGTCAAGTTACATTCTTGAAAACCGGAAGTGTAGTTGCACATTTTGGGACAAGGTCAAGCAGGTTTCCCGGTGAAATGAGTGACAGTTGGATCTTTTGTCTGAAAGTCCCTTTCATCCATCAGACTTTTGTTATCTGGAAAATCGCACTGACACCTCAAATAATCTGTTCAATCACTATTGTAATGTAGACAGGTACGGAAGTGTGCAAGTGCCCCACCCATTTTGGTAATGTTTCTCACTGTAACATTTACAGTGAGGACAGTAGGCATTTATTTCATACTGTCATATGAAATAACACAAATATTTTGATGTTTACCGTAATAACGTGCTTATTGTTTATCAGAGAAATGCATTTCATGAAAAATATTTTGGTTGCAATGCAGTTTCAGGAGTCTCTCTTTTTCTCACTGTTTCAAATGATTTTCACTATTTAGAATTATGCACTGCCAGGAAATAGGCTACTTATTCATTTGTGTAATGAATATTTGTTTGGATTTGTTACTTGTTTTTTTTTTTTTTTTTTTTTCATTTCCATCAGTATGGCGAACATTTAATGGAAGTCTTAGCAACTGTAGTAAAATGCCCCTCCCCCTTCTTTTATGGTCCATTTTATTATGAAGTAACTGATATCTATCTAACACCTGACTTATTAGATTATCACAATATTTCTCTGACCTATACTGATTGATTAATAGTCTCATCTTTATTTCTATACTTCATGACATGTACTAATATCCCTTCTAAAACAGTTTATAATTTTCAGATTTTGAAGAAATTTTTGAGGTAGATCATCCCTTTAACTGTAGGGTATGCCAAGGATTCTGTGTGGAAATAAATTATGCTGCATGCTTGCAGAATGTCTGGTTGCAAAATGTGTGGTTTGCAGGTTATTGCTCTGCATTGGTATTGATTCTTTTTGTGGACCACATAGTTGCTGTGAGTTTAATCATGTGAAAAAAAGTCATCTTGATAAAATCTGAACAGGGTTTCTTTTGCTTTTAGTATGCTTTGAGTGTTTATAATGAAGCCTGTTAACTCCACATAAATCAAATGATGCTCTGCAACAATAAATTAAACTGGAAAGGAAGATTGCAAAAAAAAAAAAAAAAAAAATCCACTTTTTAACTTGAGTGAAAGCGAAGAAGTTAATAAATGAATTCATGAGATTACTACCCTTAAAAATATTTATTTATTTATTTATTTATTTATTTATTTATTTATTTATTTATTTTTGTGTGTAATATGTTTTCAGTGTGGACTAATATTTATCTCCAGGAGGAGAAACCTTCCCAAACCTTTCAATTGCCTAGAGATTTGTAGGTGCAGACCAAGTGTCCAGACTAAGGCAATAATTGACTGATATTGAGCATGTTTTCCTCAATAAAATGTTGTTTAGTTATTAGTCATGGTGGTGTGAGCCAAATGTATTCATGCTAGATAACATAAGCTGTATTTGTTGGAGCAGAGGGCGGGCCTTATCTCCAGGTGGAATCTGCCCAGAGCCGGGCAGTAGGTCTGTCTCTGGCCGAGATCTAGCCGTATCTGACACTGTAATGTGGCCATTTTGTTGGGACATATCAAGATCTGGTTTGAACTGGGACCGACTGTGCATGCCACTGGTTAGAGTGTGAAATTATACATTGACACAGTAGCTGGGTTTATAAAATGTTTTCAGTGAAACTATCTGAATGAATGATATATATTTTCCCCCATTTTATATGGAGTTTATTTTTATGTGACAACTAAAAATTATTATAATTCAAGTAGACCAAAAATTAAGTTGAGAACAACTTTGGCAAGTTCTTTTGTGTCCCTGCAATCCATAGCAACCAGACTGAATGGAAACGACTCCCTTTTGTTTATTGGTCTCGCCTTGTGCCTCCAGTATCAGACTGGCTGAAGTAGCTCTTTTAACACAAATCTTCCCATTTCTACTACCAGGAAGAAGAGTAAAGAAGTATTTTTAAGAGAACAGTGGAGGTGAATTTGGATGACTGGATTGTGTTGTCTTTGGCAAAGTCCTGTTGTATTACCCCAAGATGACTCGCATGAATGATCTACCTATCTTGAACTGGTTTTCGAGTCAGAATTTTGACAGCTTTACTGCAGCAAGTTGTGAGGTTCATATACTTCACAGTCTTGGGAATATAATGTTTTTTAAATTGGGATAAATCGTTTGTTTTTGGAAGTGATTTGTATGATAGAAATTTGAGTGTGAAAGTTTTCTGGCGGAAGTTGCTTCACTGAGCAAGTCCCAGGTTTTAAAATAGTGTGTCATGTTGTCAACTGAAACACCCATCATCCATCACTGCTGACCTGGACACCATAGGGCATTACAGGTGACTCGATTTACATTTAAGATTTGTGAAATGACAACGAAGTTAGAGTTGGGAGGGGAGGGGGTTGGGTTCTACTATTTAGTGTGGACAAATTTTGAATCCACTCATTGATTTGATTGATTTAGGGATAAATGCACCAAACAGAGATCAGGGACTGGCTTGCTTCCACTGTCCAATTACTATCTTGACAATTTCTGGTATGGCTGACTTAGTACCATCTAGGCAACCTCTGCTTTGACTAACTTGGTTTTATCTAGGCAACCTCTGGTATGGCTAACTTGGTTTTATCTAGGCAACCTCTGGTATGGCTAACTTTGTTTTATCTAGGCAACTTCTGGTATGGCTAACATAGTTCTATCTAGGCAACCTCTGGTATGGCTGACTTGGTACTCTCTAGGCAATCTCTGGCATGGCTGGCTTAGTACTAATATCTTGACAACTTCTGGTTTAACCTCTGGTTTAAGCTAGCTCATTGATCTAGCTATCAGCGTGAAGGGCCAGCTTGCTACACAGCAGTAGGGAAACCATGTGAGAAATCAATGAGCTGCAGCAGCGTAATAATCCTGTGATACATCCAACAGTTGGGTTAATTGCATCCTCATATGTGTTCTTGCATTTCTATTGCATTTCCATGTGCAAGTAAATGGGGCGCGCAAGTATGTGATGCTAGCATTGTAATGTGGCTTGAATATAACAGAGATTGGTATAGAACTAGGTCAAAAGCAGTGGAAAGGGCCGGGAGCCTGAACCTAAAGCTTAGATGGCCTCAGTCAGTGCATTAGAAAGTGAGCACTTGATGCTGTTCTTTAGGGAATTGGTGAAATAAAGTATTCAGAGGGAGACATGCCCTAGAGTGAATATATGTACATAATTCAGTGGCAAGTGGGATTGCTATGATATTAAGTATTATTTTGTGAAAAACAGTTTGTTCACATGGGTTGGTTTAGAATGCTGTTCTTTTAGTTCTGTTGCCAAACTGATTATGAAGGAATGTGAGGTTTCAGGAACCGCATAACCTTGAATTCTTGCAGCATATTAAGGTTTATTCATCTGCCATTTGGTTAATGGGAGTAGTTTAATACTTATTTTAATAGCACTGCACAGTATGTTGAATGTGATTTATTCAGTTTGCAGCTCTGAGAATGGCTCAGTGTCATTCTTCACTTTTGTCGCAAAAAGAGGAGGGATCTCAAAGCCAGGTTTGAATCAGTATTGCATCAGTTTTAACAAAGCAAACAGAGCTCAAAACTCCAAAGAAAAATAAATCATCTTAGCCACGATGTTGTGTCTGAAAGTTACATCTGGCATCTTGTAGTGCAAGTCTTATGTTTTATTTCAAGTTTCAGTATTTCCAGTCAGATTTTGAAAGTAAATGAAATAGGCCATCCTGCATTTGCATAGACATGCACAGGGCTTGTTGAACTTTGGTTAACTAGTCAAATGTTTTTGTGATATAATGCACAGTCAGAGCTTGGTCAACATCTTAGTGTATTGAACTTTTTTTCATGACCAAGTAGAGCTGCCCAGTCTGTTTATCTCTGTAACCGTGGCAGCCTTTGGGTAACCATGGCAGCCTCTGTCCTGCTCTGCCGGGGTGGGGTGTGGAGTCGGGCAGGGAATCAATGCTTCAGTTCAATTCCATGTACATTATGAAAACATGACCTTTGGCGTTACCATGGCATTGCTATGATGACCTTTCTTCTACCAGATAAATCATCTTAAGAATTGGTTCATAAGTGTAATTTAACCTTCAATTATTTGATTTCTTGGCAGTTACCCTCCCCTCCCCCCCCCACCCCTTTCCCTTCCAATATCTACCTGTATAATCTCAATACATCAGTATGATGCCTTCTCCCTGTGGTGACTGTTCCTGTTGGACTGTGGAGGTATGTTGCTGTAGACCACAAGGTAGCCCTACCTCCATGAGTCAGGTAGTCTGTTATAGATCAGTAAGAATACGCTTTAGGCTGCCTTCAAACTGGGGTTCCTTTGGGTTGAAAGTGTACAGGTTTTAGCATAGGCATGTGTGTTAGTTGATCTTTATCTGTAAATGACACAACCTCCTCCCCTTCCATTCACGCACATGCACAGCCCACCCTACCAATGTGAACAAGCACACAGAATTCAATGTTAATATAGGTATGTGGATTGAGTATGGAATATATATGTCATATGTTGGTTGTTCACTGTGTTTATTCTCTGGTACAGGATCTACATACACCCACAGTTGGCCTTATACCACAAGGCCAAAGGTCAGATATTTCATATCTAAGATATTTTTTTGCTGAACCATGACTACTTTTCAGATGACATTATGATGACTATGCTCTGCTCTACTCCTTGAAGGAAGTTAGAATAAAGTACATATGATTTGTCATGTTCTTGATGAGAAATTCTGTGAGGTTTTGTTTTGTCTGTGTTTGGAAACTCCCTTTGTTAATGGCCCTCCTGGCCTGTTTATATGACTATATGTATCATAATCAAATGTATGTCTAATGTTTGCATTTTGATTGGTCTTTTTTAGAGGCTGTTGGACGAACACTTGATACCTAAGTCAAAGAATGGTGAAAAACATGAAAGTAATGTATTTTACCTCAAAATGAAAGGGGACTACTACAGATATCTAGCAGAAGTGGCAACTGGGGAAGACAGGACGAGTAAGTACTACGGAGATAAGCCAAGGGTAAAACTACCCTGCTTCTTCCTGCCCCCCCCCCCTGCCCTTTCATTTCACAAAAAAAAAGTATGTAAGTCATAATAAGCTGGGAATTCCCCGGGATTTGTGGCACACGGAGTCCGAAATATACATCTGTAATTTGGTCATCAAGTTTCAGGGGTCCAACCCAAGCAAGCCCAACCAAAAAATTCTAAGCCATTTATCTGTTTTTGGAAATATAGACCATGTTTTGAGGCTTATGACTGTCCAAATGCTGGGTGGACAGTTCTCTTTGGAAAGTCTTTGATAATGAGTCAGTTTTTGGATTAAAAAATAACTTTAGAATGTTTGCTGTGCATCAGCAACCAGTGCATAGCAGATCAAACGGTGAACTTGACCTTAATATATTATTCTTGGAAGTTAAATGGTTACCTTTTAATCCTGTTATACTGAGAGGTCTCTGACCAAATAGTATAAACCCAAGCAAGATGCAACCAGTTTTCATGCAAAAATAATGAATAAGTAAATAATGATCAAATAAATAGTTATATTCTCAAGGTGCAGGCAGTCAGTGGCTTGCTTTACTGCTTCAGAAAATAAGTAGTCAACCAGTTGTTTATCAAGCTTAATGATTTTTAAAACAAAAAACTTGCCATTAAGTAGTTAGTAAAATAAAGTGTCAGTGTAGTAGTAACGCAAGTGATTCAGATATACAGAGATTAATCTGTTTGAAGAAAGCGTGCTGTGGTTTTATTTCCTAGTCTGTTTATAATATATCTGTTTTAATTTATAACCGTCAGCCTTCTTTCATTCCTTCCAATTTAATATTGCATCACCAGTTTAGAGCTGCCAATCCTTATTTGAATAACTGTGTCCTTGGGCACACAGCACACATGCCTCATACGTCACTATGTACATCATTTTTTTGGACTTTATCACCAGAAATTTGAAGAATTTTCACATTTGGTGAAATTGAAATGGCATACTTAAGTGCAACCTTGAGCAACATATTTTGCAAACTAACCAAACATAAAGCAAACCATACTCATCTTTGTATTGATTTTCTCCATTCAAATGGATGTGAAGAGGTAAAATGCATAAACACCAGTGCATTGGTTGGAAAGGACTTGATGCCATTCATTAACATGGCGTGCATCTCATTTTTTGTTGCTTTCACATTTTGATGGTCATTGCATTTCAAGCTTTTGAAATTTCCAGATTTTACTGTCAGTACTAACATTAGCCCCTCTCAGGCAAATTCTTGGCTGACTCTAATGGTCTCCATACCTAGTTTCTTGTAGCCATCCTGTTTAACTTCTCCTGGTCACTGTAGTGGGTGGGATGACTCTTAGCAATAATGCTCTTCTAATGCATGCCTTCTTGCAGCTTGACACTGCCTAGTTCCCTCTTTGGTGGAAGAAGTGCACGCGCCTTTGGTTGGCAGCAGTTAGAAACTTGCTTTTCAATCTTCATTTTCTGATCTTATTTGTTTGTTTATAAGTCTCTGGTTCAGATGGGAGGAGAGGGGTATTGTTTTGCTTTTATGTACAGACACTGCGTGTTTGTGCATATAGTCAGCACCTGCTTCTGTCATTGTTTTTGTCGTGATTTTTTTCACTGTTCGCACACACACACACACACACACACACAAAAAAATGAATAAATAAAAAGACTTTTGCTCAAACTTACTACAGTCATTTATGGCATTTTTTCCCCTCATTTTTTTCATTTTTCATTGAGTAGATTTGGTTGGAAGCCCCTTCGTAATTGCAATTTCATAATGCTCATGTAACCTATATTTACATAATTGAAAATGGATGGTGGTTATACTTTTCAGTATTATGTAATATTGCATCAAAATTGACAATAACTCTTTTTGTCCACTACCACCATAAGCACTATTTAAGAAAAACCAGTTTGCTAACTATTCCCTAACTTAATAATACAAGTAGAATTCCTATGGATTCTTAGGACTAAAATACACTCAGATAAGAAAACCAGCTTTATTGTAATATTTAATCTTGAAGTAATGCAGTCCTTTTTTCCACAATTTGGTAATTTTAGTGCTGTCAGTGATGTTACCCACTCGTCATATATATTGTGCACAATATTTTTTTCTCTTTTTGTCTGTACATTTGACAGCTTTGCTGCCTTGTTATTAGTGTGGACATGTTTTATTTGGCTTTGTATTGTACTACAGTTTAACCATTTCAAATGGCTTTCCAAACAGCCCTGTCTGCTAAGACCTTGTAAATATTTCCCCAATTTTTTTAAGGTGCCTTATCATGATCTTGGGTATTTTGTTTAGAATATATATTTTTCCCTTTGGAAGTTCAAGGTGTGCCTAACAGATAGTTTGGTGTATAAGACGGTGTCAGTAACTAGAAATAAAGTAGAGGAAAGACAACATGTATATTTTGTGTACCTCTTTCATTTGTGTCTACATTATCTCTTCCTCTCCATCAAACAATTTCACAAATACTAATGTGATGAGAGTGCTTTAGCAATCAGCGGGAATTGTGAAGACTCCTTAATGGGTCTTTAGGGTTTGCGTTACCCGAGGATTATATTTCGGAAGAGAATTGCTGGAAGATTGTATCCTGCTTGCCACCTATAATCCAACGTGTGCTGTTCGCGTATGTTTGTTTGAATTGTTCGCCAACCCATTGAGTGCTACATCGCCTGACACTGCTAACGTCACAGCCCCGACCTCCGATGCCAGGCTAACACGCAGAAAGGAGCACGGGAGAAATAGGTAGGGATAATGCTGTGTACGACCAAGCTCTCTTGCTCCTTTCCGCAGTGGTTCTTTGTGTCCATCAAACAAAACAAAGCAAAACAAAAATTCATCAGTTTAGACATAACGGTCAAAATGTACTACCTTATTTGGAAAAATGAAAGACGTATTGTTAAAAGAGCTCATTTGCGAAATGCACCTTTGATTTTTCTTTCATTTCACGGATGTTAATAATGAATTTTTTTCAAAAAGAAAAAGAAAAGTCCTGGCATGTGTTTGTTTTATGATGGTTGATTTATTTTGAGATTTGTTCTTCGCTTTGCACAGAAGAACCTCTGGTGGGAGCTAGGGAGTGGAGGTGACAACTTCAGGATGCAGGGCTTTTCCCAGGATTGGGGGTACAGGCCGTCCAAAATTATCACCTGTAATTGCCTACAAAACTTCAGGGAGTCTAAGCCATCATTTAAAAAAAAAAAATTCATAAGCCGTCCAGTCGTCTTTGAAAAAAAAAATTACCCATCTGGTGGTGCTGGTGGCCATCCAAATTACAGCTGGACGGTTTGCTGGGAAAGGCCTTGACTGGATGGGATAAGGCACCTTGGCAGAACTCAAAGCATTCGTTTTGTCACACATTCATATCCAGATAGAAAATAATCAGGAAGTCATTTGTAGCGGCTGACATGACAGTGATCCAGAGTGTGTGCAATGAGTTTGGTTCCAGCGCTCTAATCCCATTTCTGTCTGCTGTCATTTCATTATTCCCCATTTTCCTGTTTGGATGGAAAAGAGTGAGGCAGATTGCTGCATGCGAACAGGAAACTGCTTTTTTTTTTTGTGCGTGTGTGTAATTCCATTGCATCTCCCTTGCATCGGCAACTTTTCCTTTTGGCTTGTGCTCAGTGGCTGAAGTTTCTCCTTAACATCAGTGTCTGTTAAGTGTTAAGACAGCTCCTAAGGTGTTTTCAGGCATCATTGAATTTTTTGTTAGATATGCTGCTTTGGGGGGGGGGGGGTATTTTATTAGGATTTGTTGTTTTCTTTCAGTTGTATACTTGGCAAAACCTTAACCCTAAGTTATAATTTATTTTCAGCAAATAGCCAAAATTCGGATAATGCCTATGAAGAAGCGTATAAGACTGCCAAAGATGAAATGAAGCCTACACACCCCATACGACTTGGCCTGGCATTAAACTACTCAGTATTTTTCTATGAAATTATCAATTCTCCTGACAGGGCATGTCAGTTAGCAAAAACGGTGAGTTGAATGCAGTTGTATCTACTATTATCATTGCACTGTCTTTTATCTCGGTGTTCGGCAATGATGTGGTAATTGCTAAAATTCCAACTCTGTTAAACAAATAGTAATTGGTCCTTAGGGACTTTGAAAAAAGTGCCTTGTGAGAGGAAATGTGAAGGTATTGCTTTCAGACTTTACGAAAGGCCAAAAAATCTGTCAGACATTCGGTCTGACAAGCTTGAAAATTCTGTCAGACCGAAACAAAATCTGTCAGACCGAAGTAAAATAATAGAAATATAAACCATTATTCATGTTTTCATGTGTATTTTCTAATGTTTTTAATCATTGACATTAAATCAAATATTAATTTTTTGATATATGTTTATTTGTAAAAAAAAGTAAGATAAGAAGGAAAAACAAAACAAAAAAAAAGGCAAAAAATTACTTGCAAAACAAGTTGTTTTTTATTTAATGAAATAGACGCTGTTGAATGACACAAGGACTAAAAACATTACAAGTATGAAGAATGCGTAGCTAGTAATATCAAATGTTTGTCCATAAAAACGTCTGTTAATCAGTAACCATTTCACACGTTGTTTTTGGCAATAACATATGCATTTTGAAACAGCACAGTAAGACAGTCTCTTTCATCCAATTGAAGCTTTGACAGGGACTGTCCAGTCCGAGTCTAAGTTCCTTCTTCATTTTATTTCTTTTTTTATAAAAAGAAACTCAAACTGTGAGCTTTCATCAAGTTCATGTGCACTTTCTCCAACTCGTGATGAACGGTACATGCAAATACGTACGTATGTTCCATAATTTAGGAAACTGTAATAAAGCTGTAGCATTGCTGTTGATCAAAATGATAACTTTAGTACTCCTGACACTCGGCACACACTATTTTCCTCTCCTACAGATCATAAGTCCGCCAGGGCCTACCTTCTTTCCAATTTTATTAAACTTCCGTTTCTCTTCCTCACTTCGTTTTCATTTTTGCCACGCTTTGCACCAACGAAGTGTTTAAAGTTCAATAACGTCATTTTCTAAGCAAAAGGCTTATCCATGAGTACTATGTACGACTGATAATGAAGAAACAGAGGATCAAGTCTGTAAAAACGCAAATTAACACAAGCACATGTGTTGCGGCCATTTTGTTGTGTAGTATTACGAAAACGAGACTGTACATTACATCATTCAGGAATTCCCCAACCTCAGCCAGTCACAAAATAGTATTTGTGAGTGAAACTGAGGTTAATAAATTATGTATAATAGCTGGGAACTCCCCGAGATTTTCACCCCGTCTCTCTTTTCGAGTGCAGTAAAATATATCGTCCAGAAAAGAAACAACAACGAAATCCTTATATTTACATATTCTCAGTCAGTTTGAAAACTCGCCGGACATAAGGTCCGACGATACAGGATTTTTTACCGGACCGTGACGAAATTTGCCAGGCATGTCCGACGGTCCGACGCCTTTCGTAAAGTCTGGCTTTATAACTTCAGAAAATAAATTGTGAGAGTCTAGAGAAAAAAATGGACATAGTGAAAATATCTCCAGCAGGAATGAGATTTTTCCCACTATTGGCAAATGTCTTACTTTAATGGAACCAAAAATGTCATTTTGGAAATTGATGCAGATCTGAAATTAAAAAAAAAAATGGAGAGGGGGGGGGTCTGGACCCCATGCCACATTTTCAGTTTTTCTCACTAATGGCAGTCTTATCACTGCTCTAGACTATTCTACATTTAGAACCTAAGGCAGTGTGAAGCTGTTTTTGATTCCTGTTGTATATATTCTGAATCTCTTTTCAGGCTTTTGATGATGCTATAGCCGAGTTGGATACTCTGAGTGAGGATTCGTACAAGGACAGCACACTAATCATGCAGCTGCTTAGGGACAATTTGACGGTAGGGCAAAGCAGGGCTGGGGTTTTGTGCACTGTCACTGTAACAAAACTGAGGGTCTGTGTAACAAATTCTGTCCTCCATTTCGTTATAATGGTTAAAGATAGCCTGACCTAAGTGGGTCAAAATTTTGGGCGAGGCTTACCTGTACAGCTGCCTCTCTATCGTTGCGGACTCTGCCACGTTACACCACCATCAGCATTGTAAAAAGCAGCATAATGGCACAAAATTAAAATATGGTGGTGATGATGCTGTTTTGCATTAAGTAACATTGCATCTAAATTGACAAAGTAATGCTCTTGGCGGATCCTTATTTTCTGCTTAATGTCTGTATTTTTAACAGCTTTGCTGCAATTTTATTACTACAAACCCTGTTTATGTATCTATATATACATATACATAATAGTAAGTGGTGTTTTCGTTTTATTTTACAGTTGTGGACTTCAGACACGCAGGCAGAAGGGGAAGAAGCGCAAGATCATGAGAATAATTAACCTTTTTCTCTGCTCATTGAACAATATCAGAGACTACTGAAACTGATATAAAACTTTCAACAATTTATCGTAAAGCAAACTAAGCAAAGTGAGAATTTAAAAAAAAAACGATGAGGAAAAAAATGTGCTCATGTGGTCAGACTTGGCACGGTGGAAATCGACAGGAAATTTAACACTTTGTTTGAGCTACTTTCTTAATTGGTTTTTGATTTCAACAACAACATGGTAAACATGAAAACGTGACAGTACCCCCACTGCCCCCCACCCCCACCCCCAAGAGACGAAGGCAAAAATATGGGGAGGTGGGTGGGAGGGCAGCTGCATAGCGTTTCATTGCCAAAATAATGTATTCATTGTCGTGACAAAGGGGGAGTAAGGCACTTTTGCCAGTACGTAGTCATCTACAGTTGCTTAATTCCAACAGGTGCACTCTAGATAGTACTAGTAGGCACACCTCTGTTTCTCTTTAGAATTTACTTTAAGCAAACTCCTGGTTCCCTATATCACAGCAGGGCAATGGCCCCGTTTCTGTCTCACCACTAAAGCTTGCCCTTGTACTATCATTTTTCTCTGCAAGGAGGAAAAAACGTCTTTCATGTACTTTTCAGTTCAGCTTGGGTGTTAAGAGGGTGGTTATGGATCGATTCTTATAACATGCCAAAATGAAGTTAACTTTACACCACTGCTGGCTATGTTTCAGCTGTGTGGTTTGTGAAGAGATAAACAAGGTGAAGGGATCTGTATTCACGCTAAGGCTTACTTCCCCCTTTTTCTTGATGTTGTGCCATTTCTTCCTCTGTCTGAAAGACTCGGCCCAAACATTTACAGACCATATGCCATGTAACCTTGATATTGTCCCATTTCATATTTTAACCAGTTAAGAACATTAACAGACCAAATGTTATAATTAAAATGTTTCAGCAGTTGACCATAAGCACTGCAGTGCGTCATCTCTAGTAAGTGGTCTTTCATAGGGCATTCAGAATTTGGTCTTGAAAAGTGGCATAAATGCTGTTAAATGTGCACATTCATACGCTACTTGCTGCCCATAGCAAGACTGGCAAGTTTTGACCATCCTAGACAAAACCTGGCTGATTTCTACAAGACCACGTAACTAAGCCAACTGTATGTGTGTTAAGTTTGTGTATTGCCATAACTGTATTGACTTTTAATAAACTTCCCCTAAGCCACAGATGTTACCTTCTCAAGTGTCAGCTCATTTATGTAGATCATTATTAATTGTACTATTATTTGTTTTGAATGTTATTGAAATCAAAAATGGCAATGAAGACCTGTGCATAAAGTATAGACAAGTCGAGCCCACTGTGTTTATTAAGTTTGCTTTAGCAATGGAAAAGTTCCAATTGTGCTTTTGAATGTGTTCGTAGCATGATCATATGGTATCGGTTTTTAAGTTGTAACCCACTTTACTATGGAGCATCAGAAGAAAAAAAAATTGACAAAATCTTGTTGTTATTATTAGCATTATTATTATTTGAAGATCAAAACGAGGTCACACGAAGTGGAGATAGAACTGCGTGGTAGTTTTCCATCACTCGTTTCAATAGTTATAACATCTTTTTGACTCGTAGAATAGTAAATAAGTAGGTCTAGAAAACTCCCTTGAGGGTTGACTTTATTATTATAATAATTATTTAGTTAACTCTAGTTGTTACTGCAAGATTGTATTTCTGAATACTATTAAATGTTGTCAACTTTGAATGCAATGAAGTGGATGTGATGTAAAACACGAATAATAATGCTTCATTCGTTATATAGTCCGAGTCTTGTTTGGTATCTATCTCTGTACCAGAGTTATCTGTGTAATTTAGCTAAAGGTGCATTTAAAGTCAATTTTTGCCATCAAAATGCCACCATACAGTTTTGAATAGTATGACTAAGAAATGAACGAGGACTTCGCATATTACTGGAAAAATGAAATTTTTATGACCAAACATTTGAAGAAGGTGCAGTTTTAAAGCTCTCTGATGGCTGATTGAGTGATTAAATCAGTTTATCCTTTTTCACGTCGACTTGGAGTGGTATGTAAAAAAAAAAAAAGTAAAAGTGGTTTATATGCATTAATGGGAAATTGTTTGCTTTATATGCTGAAAGTTGCATATAATTTGTGAAAAAGGTGAAAAGAAGTTGGAATGGGCTTGTCTCGCTTACCCTTTTTTTCAGCCCCCCCCCCCCCCCCAAATCCCCAATCTGCTAAAAAAAAAAAAAAATTCTGTAGCAGGAGCTGTAGCATATGTTGATAATATGCTTCCAAAGGAATGATAATCGATTTATGGTAGGTTCCATGAATTCTGAATGAGGTTTAAATTGGCCGAATTTTGGTTTGCTGTTGAATTTTACGTAAATGACAAGGTTTGGGCCAGTCACAGACGTGAATTTTGTCAAACACTGATGACAGTTCTTTGATTTTGAAAAACGGACTTCCGTACATGTGTAACTTTGTGCTACTTAATATTTGACATCTCTTTTTCCTCCCCCCCCCCAAAAAAAAAAAATAAAATAATAATAAAATAATAAAGAAGTAAAATAACTTGGGCTTTTAAAATAAGAAAGTAGAAAGGGAGTTAAGATTTTCAACCCATGCAACCTTATTGCTCAAGTAATATTATAGTTATCCCTTTATGTGACACTGGTATGCTTGGGCTATCAATTTGATATTAAGAAATACCTATTTGTGGGTCACAATGTAGCTAGTGAAAGAATGTGCTCTTGAGATCTTATGTTGAAGGAAATAGGCTTGAAGCCCTATTTCAAATAAATAAATAATAAAAACAAAAACTTGAGTCTTACATTTGTTTTCATGTTATAACATCTGTAACTTCCGAGTATTGTCCTAGATTGAGTGGCAATAACAGACTAACGTCAACTGGAAACTCGCCTATTACATCCCTGATCTATTATATTTTACTGCACATCTCATAAAAACAATTTTAGTTTTAAAGAGGTAGCAACTGTTTGATTTGACAATTTTTTTTTTTTTTTTTTTTTTTTTTTTTTTTTTTTTTTTTTGCTGGGCTAAACTACAATTTTTCCATACTTACCAGTGGCTGTATAGAAATATCATTTTGTGATTATACAATTATGTATCTGAAAGTTGGATAATGTTTGCCATTGAAAAGATAAAGAGTTATTACACCACATTACCCATCAGCCCTGCATCAAAGGGCAGCCAACCTCTGCTTTTGCATGATGCATTGACAGCATTTGTTTTGCTTTAATTCACAGGTATAGTGGAAAACGCAGAGAAAGCATACAAAGAAGCCCACGAATATGGGAAGGGTAACATGGCACCAACCCATCCAATCCTCCTGGGGTTGGCCCTCAACTTCTCCGTGTTCTACTACGAAATCAAAAATTTGCCGGATAAGGCCTGTCAGTTAGCCAAAGAGGTAAGCTGCCCCTATGGTCCTATTCTCTGTGATTGCATTCACACTGAGTTGAGCCATGGCTTTACAAATCCTGGAACTAAATATGACGGACGTACATGAAAGAAAAACTGCCTAATCTTTTAATAGTCTCTCTGCCTCTCACACGCCTCCCCATGTGTCGTCCCAATGGAGAATGGAGCGGAGATTTAATGACAGTACCCCCGCAGGAACGACGCATAGGGAGGCATGTGAGAGGCGGAGAGACTATTAAAAGATTAGGCGGTTTTTCTTTCATGTATGCCGCCATATTTAGTTCCAAGATTTGTAAAGCCATGGCTCAACTCGTTGTGATTCTTTGGAGATTGAACCTACTCGGACTCCGCGGGGAATCTCGGTGAATGTAATCAGATTAGCAGATTAACAGGCCACCATTTGGTGTTGTATAGAATACAGAAAAGCTGGTGATGATGTGAGTGAATTTGAGACGAGGTTGTGTTAATCTGATTGGATTCAGCGAGAACCCCTGCGGAAGTTGATCTTCTCTGTGTAGAACGATAGTTGCATTGGGAATGACCCCAAACTCTTATTTCATTCTTACTATGCTTTTTTTTTTTTTTTTTTTTACACTTTTGCAGGGCAATTTCTTAATCATGTTGTATATTTTATGTTTGTCTAAATAAACCTTTATCTTGTCTGTGCTCAATGTATGATACAGAATACTCTTACAGGGGCGGATTGAGGCCGTCTTTTGGGTCTTCCGGAAGACGGTCAGATTTTCAAGTTTACATTGATGTGTATCTCATTTTCCTGTCGGAAGAGGGTCAAAAATGGAGGATGGATCAAGAAAGACATTTTGGAAGTCTGTCAAAAAATATCTCTGGATCCGCCCCTGTCTTAATCGGCCATTCAGAATAGAAGATCCAAGTACTAAATGATCCACTGGGTACATATGGCCGTCCCCTCTTCAAAAGCGATGCCACTGATTCCCGGTGGTCACCCTGCCTCCACACTCGCGATGAAATGGATTAAATCTTGGCTCCGTGGTTTATTGCTAGGACCCTGCAGCGACGGCATGTGTGGAGGCAGGGAGACCATCATGGTTGGCCATATTTAGTCCGCAGATCAATTAGCTCTCGGATCATCTATTCTCGATGGCCCCTTCACCACCAAGGATAAGGAGTACTTACTGTTTCACCCAGCCTGAAGGCAGTGAAAAAAGGGGGGGGGGGGTGGAGGAGGGTTTCTTTCTTATTTAAATTCTTACTAGTATGTATACCCAGGTTGAAAAGTTCAAAATCTATGGTGTAGAACTCCCAGATTTATAATTCTGTCATTTTGTCCCCTATAACACTGTATACTTAGAATCATATGTGCATGGAGTAACTACATATCCTAGCTAGCTTTGTCCCAAATGTTCCTTATAAAACATAGGACAGGTGCTCAACTTGCTTATGCCCCAGTTTTAGTGTACACATGAACAACAACATTTTGAAAGAATACTGGAGTTATAAAGCTACTTAGTGTACTTCCAGCTTGCAATTGGGAGTTCAATCCAAGTTACTCATGCAAAATCTACTGTATTGTATATGGATTTTACAATATAAATAATAATAATAAGTATTATTATTATTATTTATTTATTTATTTCTCTCTCTCTCCAGGGCTTTGATAATGCCATCAAGGAGCTTGATACGCTCCAGGAGGATGCCTACAAGGATAGCACTCTGATTATGCAGCTTTTGAGGGATAATCTCACGGTGAGTCTAACCCTCTGTTTCTGCAACTGCCCTTCTTGCTCTACCCCTCTCTCTCTCTCCTTCCTTTTCTCTTTCTCCCTCACTCTCTCTAATGCTCTCTCCTTTCTCTTTCCCCCTTCTTGCCCCCTCATCCTTTTCTCTCTCTCTTTCTCTGTCCCTCACTGACTTTCCCTGTCTCTCTCTCGCTCTCTCTCTCTCTCTCTCTCTCTCTCTCTCTCACACTGACTTTCCCCCTGTCTCTCTCTCTCTCTGTTTCTCTTCCCCCTTCTATCACTTCTTCCCTTCCTCTCCATCTCTCCTTCCTTCCCTCCCTCTCTCTCCTCCTTCGTCCCTTTCTCTCCTTTCCTCTCTCTCTCTCTCTATCTCTCTCTCTCTCTCTTAGCCTGTCACTGTCTCTTTGGTGTGTTGGCAGAGAAATGCTTGCCATATCTGGAGCTGTTTTAGTAATAAATTTTTGTCTTTAATTTATGATTCTCAAAAGTTTTCGACCTAGCGTGCCCTTCCTGGCATTGAGTATAATTATATTATGAGTACATAAGACCAAGAGGTGTGTTAGTCCATTAATCTGATTACATTCAACAAGAGTTATTGTGCAGTAGCTAGGCTTATAAAATTCATTGTGAACTGTGCTTTTAAAACAGGTAGGGTCATCCCCAGAAGACAATGTTGTTTTAACAGTTATTGCAACAAATTTAGTGTGTAGAAAAACATTTTATTATTTATTCTATTTCCTGTTTACTTAATTTTTTTCTTCAAGCTTTGGACATCCGAGAGTGAGCCGGGAGATGACCAGCAAGAGGTCACAGATGATTAACTCATCCGATCAGAATGACCAAATCCAACTCAGACATTGGTCATTGGAAAGTGGACTTATTGATTTGTAGTGGATATTGAGTACAGACACATTAAAGACAGAGCTGCCCTATAATGAACAGATGTGTATTGATGGGAGCCAACACGGAGGCCTTCCCAATTATGTTGTCAAATTATTATGATGCGATGAAAATTTCTTTTTTGTACTGATGCTCTGGACTTTGTTAGTTTGGGAACACTTGGATACTCATACCAATTGCCTCTCCCGTCACCATACTGGAGACTTAATGGGAAATTATTTCACATCCTTCTCCTTATTAATTTTGCTTCACTTAACTAACTTGTTAGAGCTCGTTTGAGGAGTTGACCACTTGCTGTTGTACTGTGGTACACTGCCAAAATATTGGAATAATTTGTAAGATACTTTACTGGAAACATTTTTACATGCAGTAACTTGGTGTTTTTATTTATTTATTGTGCAGACTAATTTGTTATCACCATACGATCAAATCCCTTCATTGGGAAAGTTAATCTTTACCAACCAATCAGATTGTATGTCACAGTGAGCATCATCCAATTGCAGCCTTGCTTTCTTCTTGTCATTAGAATAAATATTGTGTGGTGTGATTTGTTGGTTTGAAGCTAAGCTCTCTTCATTTTCTAATGGAAAGATTGTTTTGAAGGATGGCTGCAGTAGGGAAAGTCATGATGTGGGAAGTAACAGCAGCGCAAGAGAAATAGGCCAAAATGTGGTATAATAATAATCAGGGGATGTCTTGATATTGTCAGCATTACAATTCTGAAGCTTATCGCAGTTAC